AAAGCCTCCACAAAATAGCATTTTAAGTCTTGTGTGTGATTTATCCTGGCTTCACATGAGCAGAGGAAATCTCTGCTAGTTGCTAGGCTAATTTATACAATGTAAAATGCCATGGGCTGGTGCTAATAACGTTAGCATGTTGAATTTGTGGGGAAATGCGTCCAGATAAAGACAAGTGTTTGTCTGTGAATGCTGCCAGTAATATTGAATCTGATTTGTATACTTGTGTTTGAAATTGTCTCTATTAAGCCATGTTTAATGTGTGTTTAAAGTGTGTTTAATTAGAATGAGCCGCTTATATCTACATAGGGAGTGGGTCCTGGTTCACAGACATCGCCATGTTCCTACAGTGGCCCAAAATGGACAAACCAAACACTGGCTTTGAATGGGTCATTTGTGTTTTCATGTTAGCAACCCCTCTGCATTGGAAAAAAACACTGATTTTCCCGGTTTAAATCACCAGAGGCCTGTACTACTAAGCAGGATTTGGAGTTAATTAGGTAACATCAGGGTTAACTCTGGGTTTTCAGTACTATGAAGCTGGTTCTCTTTTTACCAAGATAAATCACCATGGCAACTTATGCTGAACAGCTAACCTGCTCCGGAGCAAGTTAACTTCAGAGAATCAGATCACACCCTGTCAACACTGCGACCTCTGACCAATCAGATCATTGAAGAAAAAAGTATCCTCAGGTAAAAAAAAAAAAGAGGAGCCTATATATATTGTTAGAGGAATCATATCATTGTTTCAGGGCTCTATTTCCACAGGTTTTAAAACAGAGATAGTTTACATACTAAACACATGATTTTGGCTGTATTTCAACTAATTCAACGTTTATTTTAGTGTGTAGTGACAGTGTTGCTAATGTTACACTCTGATTCCATCAATGCAGCTCAAAATAACACGAGACACCTGTGGGATGAGAACGAGGATAAAACAGATAATATTTTTTAAGAAAATTAAAAGCAGCATTTGGGTTGGATAGATCTCATCAGTCATTAAGTAGTCTACTTTTCCACCCTTTACTTCAGCAGTAACACTTGGTGTTACGTTAAAATGTTTTTGTGAGATATTCATCATCATCCAACTAAACAGCAAAAAATACTAATGTCACTTACAGCCTAGTGATACCTACATGCAATTTAAAACTCTGCCGACAGTGACCCTTTGAGTAGCATTTTCAATATCTCTACATTTCTGTTATAAGATTTCAGAGTATTGTCTACATCCCATGCCACTGACATTTTACTGTCTTGTTACTTGTTTACTGTCGCTAGCAAACAAGACTTTCTTGTTAAAAGACTTTTTCACATATAATGATCTGGATTTTCTGCTCCTGACGGAGACTTGGCTTCAGGCTGGTGAGTGTACACAGTTCTCTGAACTCCTTCCTCCTGACTGTTTATTTCTCAGTTCCCCTCGGACCACCGGCAGAGGTGGAGGTCTAGCCTCTGTGTTCAAATCCAGCTTTGAGTGTCGTCAAATTCTATTTGACAATTATTCCAGTTTTGAGCTGCAACTGTTTGAGCTAAACCTGTCCCCTCCTGTCATGTTTGCAGTTGTATATCGTCCTCCTAAATTTAATAAGGACTTTATTAATGACTTTGCCGATTTTCTATCAGGGGTTACTGTGAAGTATGACCACTTTTTAATTTCTGGCGATTTTAATGTCCATGTGTGTTGTGAATCCAGACCTCTGGTCAGTGATTTTTCAAACCTCATCGCTTCTTTTAATCTCATTCAGTCTGTGACCAGCCCGACTCATGAGAAGGGTCACACCTTAGATCTTGTGCTATCACATGGATTATCTGTGAGTGTAAATGAGATATGTGAAACAGCATGTATTTCTGACCATCTGCCTGTTTTATTTACCGTTTCAATCCCCTGTTCGCGGACTGTAACCTGTGCTCCCTCACGCCGCCTGCGCATGTTGAACCCTCAAACTGCATCACAATTCTCTGCCATGTATGCCGACGTAAACACGTTTAGCACTCTGGATGTCAATCATGGTCTTAATGCTGAAGAGCTTTTAAGTGTTTTTAATTTTACATGCACTGATATCCTGGACTCTGTTGCCCCTTTCAGATTTAAGCGCTCTAAAGCATTTTCTGAGCCATGGTTAAATGACTCCACACGTTCTCTCAGACGTTCATGTCGGCGTGCTGAGAGGAAGTGGAAAAAAGATAAGCTCCACGTCTCCAAAGAAGCTTTACGTGAATGTTTATCAGCCTACCAGCGAGTCGTTAAAGCTGCCAAAATGGAGTATATATCAAATATTGTCTCCAATAACAGTCATAAGCCCCAGGTTCTGTTCAGCATTTTTAACTCCCTTGTAAACCCGTGCGATAACTCTCCAGTTGTGCCATCGCCCACTCTCTGTGAGAGCTTTCTTAAATTTTTTATTGAAAAAATTTCTGCCCTTAGGCCAGTTGCTTCCACTCTCACTGCCCCTGGTCCTGACCCCACTGTGCCTCCTTTACCTGCTGTCTTTGACCAGTTTGAGCCAGTATCTCTCTCCTCACTATCAGATATAGTTAAGCATCTGCGGCCGACTAACTGTCCCTCTGACAGCATTCCCTCTCGCCTCTTCAAAGATGTTTTTGGTACTGTGGGGTCCACTGTTCTTGCTGTCATAAATACCTGCCTTAGCTCAGGGTGTGTTCCAGCTGCTCTCAAACATGCTGTAGTGCAGCCCCTTATAAAAAAGAAAAACCTGGACCCCTCTCTCCTGTCAAACTACAGACCAATCTCCAAATTACCATTTTTGTCCAAGGTTTTGGAGAAAGTGGTCTTTACTCAGCTGCAATCATTCCTAGTGGCCCATGACATGTATGAAAAGTTCCAGTCTGGCTTTAAACCACATCACAGCACTGAAACAGCACTTTTGAGGGTTTTTAACGATCTTTTGTCAACTGTTGATTCATGTAACTCTGCTGTTCTGGTGCTGCTTGACCTGTCAGCAGCCTTTGATACCGTAGATCATAGGATCCTCCTGTCTCGCCTGGAACAGTGGGTAGGTATCACAGGTACTGCCCTTCTATGGTTTCAGTCCTACCTCACTGATCGGAGCTTCTCAGTTAACTTAGGGGAATTCAACTCAGCTACGGCTCCTCTCACCTCCGGTGTCCCCCAAGGCTCCATTTTGGGCCCCATCCTCTTCTTGCTCTACATGCTGCCATTAGGGTTGATTTTTAAGAAACACAACATACCTTTTCACTGTTTTGCAGATGATGTACAGATCTATCTGCCCCTTAAATCCATTAGCAAGGATTCTGTACAGCCACTGCTAGAATGTTTAAAAGATGTCAAATCCTGGATGGACACTAACTTTTTAAATCTCAATGAGGATAAAACAGAGATCATTATGTTTGGATGTGACCCCTCCGATTACTCCGCTGATTTTCTGGGCCCCTTCACTCCTAACATCCGTTCCTCTGTTAAAAATCTCGGTGTGACCTTTGACAGTGCTTTTAAATTCGATAAACAAGTTAGATCAGTAATACAAACCAGCTTTTATCAACTCAGGCTTTTAGCTAAAGTAAAGGGCTATCTCTCCCCCCAAAATCTAGAGAGGGTAATCCATGCTTTTATAACCTCACGTCTGGACTACTGTAACTCGCTTTATGTCGGTATTGACCAGTCACTGCTACACCGTCTACAGCTTGTCCAGAACGCAGCAGCCCGCCTCCTCACTGGAAAGCGTAAACACGAACACATCACACCAATCTTGGCCTCGCTCCACTGGCTTCCAGTGCGTTTTAGAATTGATTTTAAGATTTTATTGATTGTTTTTAAAGCCCTAAATGGGCTGGCACCCCCTTATTTAACCGAACTCCTGCACTTTCATGCTCCCTCCAGAGCCCTGAGATCAGCCAGTCAGCTATTACTGGCTACTCCTAGGACTAGGCTGAAGACCAGAGGTGACAGAGCCTTTGGGGCGGCTGCCCCTAGGCTCTGGAATAGCCTGCCCCTGCACATTAGGTCTGCCCAGACCCTAGAGGTTTTTAAGTCTTTTCTTAAAACCCACTTCTTCTCTCAGGCTTTTAACTCAGGTTGAGCTGGACACCCAAACATTTTATCTTATTTTGATCTTATTTTATAACTCTTGTATTTTATTTTATTGTATTGTATTTTATGTATCTTATGGTTATTATTGTGGTGTACTATTGGGTACCTCATTGTATTTGCTTGTTTATTTCTATTGACCTGTTCAGCACTTTGGTCAACCTTGGTTGTTTTAAATGTGCTTTATAAATAAAGTTTGAGTTGAGTTGAGTTGAGTTGTAGTCGCAGACAGTTCCAGTACTGTTTCATTTCATATGAAGCAGTCTCCTTCATTCATGGTTGTAATGATGTCACTTGTAATTAACAACCCCACCCATTTCCCATGAACGCAGCTTTGTAGTGCCAGTTATCCAGACGGCCAATGTTAGGGTTAGTCAAACCAGATAACAAGAAGATATCCTGGGTATGCTGAACTGGCTTCAGAGTATAGGCCTCTGGTATGTTTGTTTTAGAGAGGGGGAGACTTCCGCGGATGATTCGGCTTCAGATAAAAACCTCCTGAACATCTGGATCTTATCAGAGAATAAAGGTGAGCACACATTAGCAGGCGCTGGGTTAGACAAGCTATAAAGCATCAGAGAAACACTCATTTGTAACGTTTGTTGTAGAGAGGAAGAGACCTCAGAGGATGATTCGGCTCCAGTAAAAACCTCCTAACAACGAACAATGGAGTAATTATAACCTGAGATCAAGCTTTGCACATGGGAGGAGTTTTAGCTGGTTGCAATCCTCAGGATCTCTTGGTTGAAGGTACAGCTGGACACAGAGGGTCTTTAGAAGACGTACTGGAGTTGGTTTATAGCTGAACCAGTTCACAACCAAAATGACCGCAATCATCTTCAATGTTGAATATACTGGGCAATACTACAACCAGTAAAGATGTTCAATATACCCCTTCCCTCATTCCCACTGCACAAACCAAAGGAGGAGGGGCTTATCATGACCTGTACAAGTTCTTTATTATAATGTAAGCACAGCTTTGTAAATGCACGGAGGAAACACAACAGTGAAAACTAGAATGTTACAAGAAGAGGAAGGAAAGAAAGACACGATGAAGAGAAGAGAATCGGGTGACATGACGATTTTTTTTTTCAGAGCTGTAAATAATACATTTCTACAAATTTCTCAGCAGAGAAAAAATAAGTGTGAGAGAGAGAGAGAGAGAGAGAGAGAGAGAGACCGAGAGACCAAGAGAGAGAGAGACACTACGGCTAGCGCAACAGAGAGAAAATAAAAACAAGGATGGGCACACATGCGCACCCCCCCCCGGGGAACTCTCGTAAATGACACTGTTATTGGATATTCCATTTTAATATCATATATAGATACATATCCACTATGTGATAATAAGCCATGTCCTGTCATACTTCATGTGGTAAGCAGCACGCACCATCCTCCTGCCCATGTTGCCCAGAAATGGACTGATCCAAGATGAGCCGGGAGAAATGGAGGACGCTGTGAATTTTTCTGAAAGGGGTGGACATTGTTCACATTAATTTAAAACCCCAGTCACAATATTCTGGACTCCGATACAAACTTCTTTTTAAAATTTAGTCTCATGCATAGCCAAGCACATAACACCTCCTATACTTTGGACTCTGCCTATGTACTGTATCCGCTGTGACTCGTGTTAGTGCTGTGCACGGTTGGTCGGTCGTACCTTTTAGGCTAATCAGCACCTTTCTGACAGAGAGAAAGTGTTTATGTGTGACAGAGAGAGAGACGTTAAAAACCGCTGCAGTAAAACCTCATTGCGTGAAATAAATCCAAACTATGACACAATGTAAATTTACATTCCTGTCTACCTGGCCCCAGTTACTCACTGTTCGAGAAAGACACAAGACGGCACCAATCGTTCGTCTCAGCCCTGTTCCATGAACCTTTCCCCCTTAAAAATGAGAACCATGCAGGCGCACCACTTCCTGTTGACATCAAGATGTTATTCAGAGGGGATGCTGTAGTGTTCGGGATAGAGGACGGAGATTTCATATCTTCATCTTTGATTAGTGACAAACCTGGGTGTGACTGGATGTGTGTTATCTGTACGTGTTTAAGGGTTCAGTTCAGTCTGAGATCGGGGGGGATCCTCAGCGATGGTCAGGAGAACTACGACACTCCTCTCTTCTGCACAACTCCCATCTTGTAGGAAATGTTTGAGGACTGTGTGTACCTGTGTGTGTGTTACTTTGCTGGCCAGAGTGCAAGCGTACGTGTGTATGTAAGCAGTTTGCTCCTGTGACAGAGTGTTAGGGTGTGTGTTTTGTTCTCGGCCTGTGTGGGTGTGAGCTCATGAGCTGATGTTGTATGTTTGGTGGGCAGAGTTGCAGTTCTGTGGTTGCCCTGTGGGAGGGCGCTGTGTCTCCTATAGGCCCTCAGACGGGGGTTCATTGCCACTGGAGCCAGACTGGGCACGCTTGATGTACAGATTCAACAGCTTCAGCTGCAGAAAGAAAAACAGAGGGTAGATGTGTAAATGTGTGTCTGTAGAGGTTGCAAGGAAGTCATACAAGCTGTATCACTGAGGTAAAACCTTTTCTATTATTCTTATTTGGCAATAATTTAAAGTGTGGAGAATCCTTTCGATATTTTTTACACAAGATCATCCATTTTCATCTGCTTATCCTGTGCAGCTCACGGGGGCAGGCTGTGCAAGATACTCCAGACGTCCCTCTCCCCAGCAACACTTTCCAGCTCCTCCTGGTGGATCCTGAGGCATTCCCAGCCCAGATGAGTTACATAATCCCTCCAGTGTGTTCTGGGTGTATCCCTGGGTCGCCTACCAGTTGGACATGCCCTGAGAACCTATAATGGGAGGCGCCCAGTAGGTATCCTGATCCTGAAAGGTACAGCAGCTTTACTCCAAGCTCCTCACCCTATCTCTAAAGCTAGCCACCTAACAGAGGAAACTCTTTGGGGATGCTTGTTTCTTAATCCAAGGCTCATGACAACAGGTGAGGGTTAGAACAGAGATGGACTGGTAAATCAAGAGCTTTGCCTTCTGGCTCAGTTCGCTCTTCACCATGACAATCCGGTGCAATGCCCGAATCACTGCTGATGTTGTGCCAAACTGACTGTCCATCTCATGCTCCATTTTACCCCCCAGATACTTGAACTTCTTTGCTTGGGGCAGTAACGCTCTCCCAACCCAGAGGGAGCAATCCACTGTTTTCTGGCAGAGGACCACAGCCTCAGACTTGGTGGTGTTGACTCTTGTCCCGACCGCTTCACACTCGGCTGCAAACCGCCCCAGTGTGTGCTGGAGGTCACGGTGTGAAGTCAACAGAACCCTTTTCCAGTTTTATATGTATACAAACATGAGCATATGGACGGAAAAATTAAAGAGCCACAATGACTGTGGGCCACGATTCAGTCCTCAGAAAAACTCCCAGTCCTCCTCCTCACTGCCATGAGTGTATCCATAAAGACAATCTATATTCATCTGCATATCCAAATGCATACAACCCACATACTTATGCGTACTTTGATCTTGATCTGTCAGCAATTTTCTTTGCTTTCTTACATATGCCCATCACACACTGTAATAAACTTTATAAATCAGAACTAAGGGAGTAGATGGATTCTCCAAGAGTAAGTCAACTCTAAATTCAAATATTTCCAACATTACCAATCCTACAAAGAAGGTGGTACTGGATTTGGCATTTTCAAATATTAAATTTCAACAAGGATTATTACATTATGAAGAACAGATGAAAGTAAAACACTGCTATGATAATGCATAAAAATACAACAAAAACACCACACTGGTCTTCCACAGGAACATGAAGAAGGTGTTTGTGCTCATTTTTTGTGTTCAAAACATGTTAAAAAATCTAAAGATGCCATATTTCAACCTGTTATTGAAGTTAGAAATTCCAGTATCATGACAACACTAATATCACGGATGAGAAACTTCACATTTACAACTGGCTTGTGCTGCCGATTCCACGTTTCAAGTGCTGATAGTTCAGGTTACCTTGCTGCTAGAGAGCTGGCTGAGGTGCGGTTTGAGGTCCTCCCCGATCACTGCGTAAATGGCCACCAAGCAGAACACACAGGCTTTCCTTACACTGCTTTCAGAGTTGTCGTAACCCTGTTGAACCAGATGGGACACGTTACAAACCTGCAGGACGTGTTTGTCAGAACAAAGGAGTCAGAGAAAGTATTCATGTGTGAATGGTGTGTGAGCACAGGAAATACAGGAGATTAGTTTTACACACTTTATGAAATAAATAACAAAATATATGACAATTAGATCAGACCATGCGATCTGATTGGTCAATCAGACATTTAGAACGTGATCAAATCAGCATGTAAAAATGTTTTTAAAAGGCTAAACGCCAACAATTACAGACTGAGGCAGAATATCTCGTTACATAAAAATATGTTGTGAAATTTTTGAAAGTAATACATCTTTTTATTTTGAATTCTGGACTTGACAGCGCTCTGTTAACTGTTTTTGGAAATGTTTGGATAACATCAGCTGTGCTGGTGAGTCTTTTTTTCCATCAGATATCGGAGTTACAAGTTACACAAACAGGCAGTTTTGTGTTCTTGTATGTGGTATTTATTCAGTTTAGGAAATCTCACCATCTCTACAAAGCATTTACGTTAGCTCAAGTTAGTTGGCTGACTCAGACAGGTACTAGGAATTGTCGCTGTTGCTAGGTTGTTACTAAGGGTCGCCTACTTACTTGAGTAGTAAACCATGTTTCATTATCTGGGAGTTTACTGACATGACTGATTATTTTCCAGTTATTAGTCAGACCCGATGTGTTCCCATGGAAACTGAGAAACAAAGATCTATAGTAACAGTAACACTCCACAGCAGTAGATAAAAACAACTCCTCTTGCTTTTACTGAACAACACACCCAATATTACACTAGTGATAATTCTGTATCATTTGTGTTGATCTTTCTGTGTCACCTGAATGAGTCCTGGCACTATCTCAGGCAGCAGGCTCATCAGACCTTCACGAGGAACCCTCTCCACTACTTTGGTCTGCATCTTGATGGCAGCCAGGTTGATGGGGTAGTCAGCTGACTGGATTATGGGACACAACACTTTGATGCACTGGTCTGGACTGATGGACAACGCCAACATAGCTGCCGTCTCCTCTGCTGCTCGTACCACCTGCAGGAACACACACAAACATCATCAGTACTGATGCTGTAAACCAAAAAAAACCTGTAAACTTAGTTAATTTCATATATTCATTTGAGATGAGTCCCCATTTTTGGTCCCCCCTCTGTTGGGGTACCTAGCACACAGTACCTTATAAAACCTCACTTCAAAAAATCCTAACTATCCCTTTAAGTGAGCTAATGTTTGTGTTTGAGTGCGCGTACCTCCTTGTGGGGGTCTTTGTGAGCCTCCAGGGCCTTCATGATGGTGAGCTCTGCGTAGTTTTTGAACCTCCAGGGCTGCTTGCAGAGAATCTCCCTCAGCACCCGCAGAGCCAGCGTTCGGATCACGTGCTGAAAGAATCAAAAAGATTTTAGACATTTTAAGGAAAGGACTTTGGCGTGGCCTATTTACAGAAGTAAATGGAGTGCATGTACCTCTCTGTCACCCATCGTTTCCAGCAGAAGCAGCAGGATGGTCTTAAAATGTTCGTCCCACACCTGCAGGGTGTTCTCACGAATCAGCTTCAGCAGTTCGCAGAGCGCCGCCTTCCTCTCCTCGATGCGCTCGTTGTGATTTGACAACTCTTTCAGCAGCTCGGCCACCAGCTCCGATTGGTCCAGGTTGCTGTCTGTTAAAAGACAACAGACAAGAAAAACAAAACGTGGGGCAATTATCCTATGATTTGTTTTGTGTGGTGCAGTGTGTCTGTGTGTTTCTGTCAGAGTGTGTCTGTGTACCATCTGTGAGAAGCTCCGAGTCGTCCAGGCTGGTGTCTTTGCGGCTGTGTTTGAAGGGAGAGTCTGATAAGTGCTCGCGGGCCCCTCGGGGGCTGGAGGAAAGCAGAGGGGTGTTGAGGAGGGATGTCTTGTTGTCCAGAGCCATGCGGCCTCCGTCCACAAAGTCTGACACTCTGCCATCTGTCCCGCTGTCCCCCTGCAGAGATGCAATAATAACTGTTAAAGAGGCTCCAACTTTCTGGTCACGTTCACCCCTGAAACATGTCTCATTTGGTCCAGACTAATTTAAAAAAGAGAGATAACACTGTTGCCTTTAATTTCTAACCAAACCAAGAGGGATCACATGGACTGAGAGGTAACGCATTCACCCATGACTGTCATTCTGCATTATCAGCACGAGCTTTTTTCATTTGATTGACAACAAGTCATGCTGCACCTTGTGTTCATTCTCTTGGTTGTCATACAGACAGAAAAGATGTTTGATTATGAACACATCAGTCAAGACTTCAACTCATCTGTCAAAAATAATATAACAGGACAAAAAAGAGGTGTTTTATCAAGACAGAGACAAATTCATTGTTTGTGATTTTGGGCTATACAAATAAAATTGACTCGACAACATCACAGCATATCATTTAATCTCCTTTCTGGTGTATTAAAATCCCAGGAAACAGAAGTTAGAGCATCTTTAGCTTCTGTACCGTGATGTATTTCCCAGTAAAACAAAATAATTGAGTGGTCTCCAGCTATAAAAGGGATTTAAATTGAATCCTTCGCATTTGATTAGGCTGCTAAAAAGTGGGCGGGCTCAGAATTTAGTGCAATACCGAGCTACAGTACAGCAAACTGCTGGCTCCACACACCTCCCTCAGTGTTAGATCAGAAGGAGGATGAGGGAGAGATGAATGAATTAAATGTCTGCCACATTGTTTTGATAAGAAAACAAAGGTTTTGTCCACTGGTATCCAAACACACACTCCTCCTTCCTCTCCGTACTGCTCTGTTTGCTGCTACAACACACAAACCCTGCACTCACTTGCTGACGTACACACACAACAATGTTATCGTGTGTATTTATATAGATTGCTGGGGAGATTAGTATCTTGAGTATCATAAAATCCTGTAGCTGGTCTGATTTGCTTTCACATCACGACCAAACTGAACCAGAACATGAACCAGCTTTTCAGACAGTCCCAGTCGAGTTGTTTAGTCCGCAGCAGAGGTGAAATGACAGCTTTCACACCAGAATAAATAAACCAGAGCAAACACACCAGACTTCTTCTGACATGCACAGAACAGGTTAGGTGAAAAAAGCATCCTAAACAGCTGGGCAGATACTGGTCAAAACAACGGAAACACTCTAAGTTTCAGATTTATTCATCTGGATCACTTCAAGTTACATAACCAGGAACATTGGGGTGACATTTCCTTGATAACATGTCCTTCTCTAGATGTGTTAAAAACAACTCAGTGTTGGGACTTGAGAAGGCTGACACATTATGGAGCCACCAGATGAGAAGTGAAGTAGGGTAAACAGTTTCAAGGCGCTCTTCTTTCTGTGTATATATTTACACTCAAACCACTAAATGCCACTATCTGAGTGGTTTGATGAGTCAGGTTTGCTGTGATTGGCAGGGTGATGACATGTGGGCCGATCGGATTTCAGATGCATGTCACGGAGAAAATGTCAGGAGGTCACACCTCTGTACTTGAGTACATCGTGATCGTGCCCTTAAAAAGTGCCGGGGTTGTTGGGAGGGACTGCAAAAAGACCTGGCGTGATGTCTTGAGTCATAAATTTGGACTCAACGAGCAGAGTATAAAGATAAGCACTAGTGAAAATATTACAAGGAGGTTCCTGTTGAGAGAATCCTCTCTGTGTGACTTTCAGCAACCGGGATCATACACAATAAACATGACTTTATCTGCGGCCACAAAGGATTAAGCCCTCAGTCATCAGTCCTATTAACACGTAATGTATGAGCATCAGTTCCCACGCTGCGGGGGGAATGGACGACCAGATCAGATATCAGGGTCATATGCAGTTAATGTAGCCATCTATGTGTGCAGACCTTTACGTGTTTTGGAAAACATGCTGTAAGGCTAAACAAGACTTGGGATCAAAACCAAGTAGCAAGTGAAACATGTCTGTAGCTTCGAGCAGCAAAAACTGTCATGCATCAAAAGTTAGAATCAAATTCTTTATCAGATCGTGTTCACGTTTTTTGATATGATATTTTCTGATTTAAATCATGACTTATACCACTGTGGCACAGGTCCTGGGTCAAGACAGTATTAGCACTGTTGTTTGGGAGGTGTCTTTAATGTTAGCCAATCAAAAAATAGATTTAGAGCCCCCCAACTTTACAAAATATCATGTTTATTTTTCTCAAAGTAAGGTATTGATGAATAGTTTTGGTATTATGCCCATGATGGCATCATTCTGACAGCAGTTTTTAACAAAATTTTCAAAACAATTCAATAATTTACTGATGTATCAAATATATGTTTAGCCAGTTTATCAGTCACAGGCACAATGCCACCTGTCGCACGACACTACATGAAGTGTTGTCCATTCGTGCTGCAACTTACGATTACTCTGATTGTTAATTAAACTGTTGAATATTTTCTCGATAAATAGATTAGTTCTTTGGTCTATAAAATGCCAGAAAATGGTATAAAATGTCCACCTATGTTTCCCAAGCCCTAGATGATGTCCTCATATGTCTTGTTTTGTTCACAACACAAGGATATTCAGTTTACCGTGAGAGAGGAGTAAAGAAACCAGAAAATATTCACATTGGAGAAGCTGGAATCAGAGAAATTTGAATTTGTTTTTTATTAAGAATATTACTCAAAATGATTGATTAATTATAAAATTACTTGGTGAATAATGTATAAGTTGACAACTAATCGATTATTGATTGCAGCTCTATTGCCCACAACAGGGAATCAAAGTTAATTATATTTCTTATTAAAACTAAGAACAGACTGAACATTAAAATGCATTCAATCTAATTTCTCTTTACCTACCACTCTCCCCGACACCTCTACTCTTTTTATGTGTGGTGGTGTTTTGCTTAACTCTCCTCAAATAATATTGTCTGACTACAACAACTGTTTCATGAAGGAATTCTTACAAGTTGGCAGCTTGGTCATTGTTAGGCCGACTCAACTTCAACACCACGCTGCTGGCAGATCTTGGCTGCTATCATCACACAAACATCTGTAAATATTTCACTCTTGTTCTCATTTAAAATCAGGTCATCACGCCTGAGTAAAAATCTCATTTCCATCACAAGAATGTTTAACAGAAGCAACAATACAGCTCAAATTGTTCCATACCAGCCTTGACACATAAACACATATTACATCCCTCCTTCTGCTCTACTGACCTCGTCTCCCTCCCGCCGGTGGACTGGCTCATTCATGTCCTCTTGGCTGCGGACGCTGAAGTTATGGATCGCCTCAGTGACACCTTTCAGCGAGCTGTAGATGTCCTCCGAGTTCATGTTCTCTGTGTCGTAGTCAAATGCACTGCACACAAACAAGAGAAAAAAGGGGCTGCTTGATTACAGTTGAAACTGAAACTGTCCCGCTATGATTTGTATATTTCATATGGTATTACATGTTTTTCTACCGCACATGTAGAATAAATCTTGATTGGGATAAAGGTAACAAATAGGTTAAAAATCAATTCAATGGACTGCTTTATTTATTCAGTCTCTCTTTTAAACTTGGTGCTGACTAATTTGAAATGATGCTCAAGCGCTGCTTGAACCGAGATGGACAGAAGTTGTGGCTGAGGTGACAAGGAGTCGCAGAAGTCACGTTGGAAAACAGGCGAAAATGCAGTGCAGATGTTGTCCTGTGTTCACTGCAAATATGTCAATAATTATTAGATGTATTTGCCATGAGTGTGTGCGTGTGTTACCTTGGTGAGGGGGTGTTCTGGGAGGTGTTGGTGGGGGAAGTAACCGGGCTGGACCAGCTGGCTGGAGATCGGGGGGTGTGGCGTGTCAGAGGGCTGCCCATTGGTGCCTGTGGGTGTGACACACAAGTTTAGCTATGAAGAAGTACACCATTAATGTTACAGTGTGATGATTCAATGATTCACAGCTGCTGCTTAACATTTGTGTCTGAAACACTCTCTTTGTTACCTGTGCAGCGTTGCCAGTGTTCTTCAGATGGTTTTGAAGCAGTTTGGTGGCTCCATCCTGGAAGGTTTTGGGCAGAGCTGCCAGTAGCATGGTGAACTCTGGAGTGTTGAGCTGGAACAGCGAGATCAACACCGACTGGGCTGCCTGTGACACAAAAATACACCCCTCTCAATTAGAAAGACTCTCTTCTGTCTTTACCAGTGTTTGTGCCCATCAGTAAATCAAAGAAGGTGGAAATTTTTTTCCAAAAATGCGAATTAACTGTGGGAATGATAATTTGTGCTGGTGGAGGTTTGTGTGTTCGCACCTTTCTGACGTCAGAGCTTTTGGGTTCAGTTGTCCAGGTGATGATGCGGGAGACGGCCAGCCGAGTCTCACTAGAGTTCACAAAGTCTGGAGCTTCCATCTGTAACGTCAGCGTCTCGATATACTTCAGAATGGCCACCTTCACCTGCGACACAAAATCACACATTTATACAAATCATTAGAGAGTTATCTGATAACACAAAGAGACTGCATGGCCAACATTCACCTGCAAAAACACAAACACAGTAATAACAAAACTACAAACACACACACATGAAGTGACCACCAACGTTCACAGTTAACATGTACACCCACAGCAGATTGTGCATCTCTTGCAGGTCTGAAAATCAAATGATCTGATGAATCAGTGAGAGAAGATCACAGTGCATTCATGGTCATGCTTTATCGTGTGGGAAAACAAATCAATTCAAAAAAAGGAAAGCGATGACAAATGACAAAACAAAGGAACCAATAAATGCACACATTCTCGCAGGCTCCGAAACGCCACAACAACTGACTCCTGCCCTGATTGTTTCCTATCTCTCTCCATATGCACCTCAAGGACCAGAAACTTCCTCCAAATCACTTAGCAGCACCGTGCGCGCCATATAATTGCTCCCCCCGGAGCGCACTGACCTGGGAGGACTGGCTCCAGGCTGCGGCCTGCTCGTCTAGAGAGCAGGCGTGGCGCCGCGCTCTGGGGGGGAACAATTTTACCCCGGACCCTCCCCTGCCTCGCCCTCGCCCGCAACACGAGCTCCGCACAGGCTTCAGAGAGAAAGAGGAGAAGCACCGCGTCAATCAACGGAGGGAGAAAGGGAGACGGGGACAGGGGAGGGCAGGGGGAGACAAGAGAGGAAAAGGAGGCGGAGGGAGGGGCAAGGAAGGGAGGGTGCAGAGAGTTTAAGAAGAGTAAAAGGATTGAAAAGTAGGCTTGGGCGATATTAAAAGTTTTATGATATTATTCTAATTATCTGGCAAAACACAATTTAACCGTTCGGCCACATGATGGCAGCAAAGAGCTGATGTCTGGTTAACCAACAGAAACGAGTGATTTATGAAGCGTCATGCGAAAGTTTGAGATGGGTAATGGCTGTCACGCTTTTGAAATGCGCAACATTGTATTAACATCCCTGTAACGTCTACACACTTATGAGTATTGCAGAAAAGTGCATGAGTTGATCTTGAAAGTCGCCTCTTTAAGTTGCTATTTGTATTTTTATGATGTAATGTTTTAATTGAGAAACTGTTACTGGATAAAATAACCAGATTCAGTCAGGTTATTTACATGAAGTAAGAAGTATTTCATCACGCCACACTGATTTGTAACATTATCCTCAAACATATTTCTGCTGTCTCACAGTTTATAGTCTCATATTGCTCTCCCCTTGCCTGTGGTGTGAGCTGTAAGGTCTCGCTCTGAGCTGACAGAGTCTGAGAACGACATGTTTACATGCACAAAATATTCTGGTTTTTGCTCTTATACTGAAAAAGACAATATTAGTACTAACTGTTTTACAAGGCTGATGAAAATGAATCTTCCACTAATACATGCTGTTGTGCATACTCCGATTAAAGTGCCCGAACACTGCGTTTATCACATCAAAATATGGAAAAGTCCAACAGCTGGAGCCCCTTGTGCCATTTTGCTTCTTTGCATCAAAAAAGAATTTTTTTCAAAATTTCCTCCAGTCTCGGGTTTGTTCGATCATACAAACACAGCCTCCCTCTTTTATTCCTTTTAACCACATTCTTAAAAAGGTCTACATTGTGATATTTGTGCAAGTCCAAAAACCTGTTGATATCCAAGTCTTTGATAATGTTTAAAAGTAGGTGTGTTTCTACTTTCAACCAGTGATGTGGGCTTTTCTTTTGGGGCAGCCTCGCAAACAGTTGACAAGTTGGTTTGTGTAAAAAACAAACAAACAAACAAACAAAAAAAAAAAAAACCCAGTTGAGACACATATTCTGAACATGCTGTACACATGTCCAAAGAATGCACCTAAAACCTGACCCTTATCAAATTCAGAATATTGTCATATCCAGTATAACTGTGGTATATTAGTGTGCATGGCAATGTAGTCATTGTTTTTTTAAGTATTGAGAGTTTTTTCAGGTCACAGAGTGGGTCCACGCTCCACGGCAGTACTTTAAGTGGCCACTTTACTGCATAAAATTTGGGACTACAAAAACAACAGTTGAGAGCAATAAGTAAAGGCAACAGCAGTCTACCTCTTCATGACAGAGGGGCTGAAACAGCAGCAAGTCAAATGAAGAGCGAGATCAGTCTTGAGGAAATTTACATTTTGGTGAAGGGGTGAAATTGTAATGCTGATGAAATCTTTCATTGCCCAAGCCTAGTTGGAAGGCAGAGGGAGAGAAAGACTGATAAGGAATGATAAAGTTGTGAAAATGGGGTGAAATATCGGGCAGGAGCGGGTGGGAGGGGGCGGAGCAACAGAGAGATAAAGGGGTAAGGGGGCTAGGACTGAGGAATGAAGGTAAGGCAGGTTAGTGAGGAAGAAAGTACGAGAGGATGGATAAGGAGTGAGAGGAGGTAGGGAGTGTCCACACCATAGCCGAGCAAAAAGCCAGTGGAGAGGCTAGATCAATCGCCATCCAATCACAGCCCAGGATACAGGGTTTTGTGGGGGTTTGGGCAGGCATGAGGTCATATCAGTACAGCAGTTACCATGGTTACACAGTCCCTGAGTTTCCAGCCTTATGTCCATCCTTCCCTTCTGACCCTCCCTTGCACAGGCTCAACTCTCATTCTCATATAGAGACAAACAAACACACATACACACACACATTCAAAATGAAGGTGTTGTTTACCTTGAGGTTGGGCGTCTGTGTCTGGTCCACAGTGAACCTCATGAGAATAGTGAACTGGAGATCATTGGGGAAAGACTCTCTGTCAAGAGAAAAAAAGAATCCACATTAAGCTTCCAGCGCACAGAAACAAAAAGATCTTGGCCAGCTGACTTAAAAGATTAAGATTCATTACTGTGTTACTACAAAAGCCAGAGATAAAGATCAATTTGTGTAATTATCCTTTCTCTCTCTGTGGATGTTTAAAAACACAAGACAGAGGAGGCAGCATTGATCCTAAGGGGAGATTAACTTTATGGAGCTTTCAAACACACCTCATGGTCTTCTTAGGATGTGACTGTAAAGCTTATAAATGGACCTCTGAGCTTAAATTGTTTTGATACACATACTATTGTCAAAGGTTAGACGTGAACCCCCATGCTCAAATATAATTCAACTATATACTTGGCTAGTTTCAAATAATGAGGTAAATGTATGTAAAAGTAATCCCTGTAAGCAAAAATTGTATTGGTCACTTTTTACGATAGAAAGCGCTATTCAATGTTACAGTCATTCCCACGCCTTTAATGATGGTGCAAGACCCTGAAATGTGGAAGACCCGAAATGCTGACCAATTGGAGCAGAGTGGGCTTTTTAAGGAGGGGGTCTTAAAGAGACGAATGCTACAGCGGAGTGCCCCAAACAGAGAGTGATTAAAAGTGTTCTGGCGCGGATATTATGGGAAAATAAAGTTTGGGTTTTTTTTTTAAGATTAAAGCATGTAAACATGTTCTCATAGAAACCCCAAATGAAAATGAGCATAATAAGTCCCCTTTAAACTTATGTGTCAACAACTAGTGTTGTTTTTGGCGGCCTGTTTTAATTTTAGTTTTAGTCTTTGTGTTAAACTGTCATTTTAGTTTTTATTAGTTTTAGTCACGTTCATACTCTTTTTTGTCTAGTCAAGTTTCAGTCAACTAAAAGTCTGAGCATTTTAGTCTTATTTTAGTCAGAATAATCTATGACTATTTTCATCTTGTTTTAGTCGACGAAAACTGATGACATTTTAGTCTAGTTTTAGTCAATGAAAATTGTATTTTAGTCTCTTTTTAGTAATGCAATTCTATTATACCCAGTCAATATAGTATAAGTACCTAATATAGTATAACCAAACCAAAATTTTCTTTTCTAACTTAGCTCCTAGTTAGAGCTAAATATATATTTATTTATACAACAGTTAGTTCCGACCGAGGAATTTGATTGGACGAGAGGCATTCTGTGAGTGCTGATATAGAGTATAACATCACTGGGACTTGTAACAGTAAAATCACTCCGCTCACAGGTGTTATAAGTAAGGGATAATGTATAATGAGCCGGTGAATACTGGGAAAATAACTTCCGACAGGGGAATAGAACCACGACGCGCACCCTGCCCTGCCGGCAACGGCTGAATCTCCTTGTCAGGGCAGCGTCCCTAGCAACGCTGGGCTACATAGCAACGGTCACTACACAGTAATATCAGACCTCTGAATGCCGCGACTGACCAATCAGAATACAGCATTTAATAGCGCCGTGTAATAAATATAAATACAGCCGTTAATTAACCAACTGTCACACTCGCTACATTGACACAAACTGACACTAGCGTTACACCAAGAAGATGGANCTGTCACACTCGCTACATTGACACAAACTGACACTAGCGTTACACCAAGAAGATGGATATTTTCCCAAAAATTAAATTTGAATTAAATTATGAGTGGTCGTCAAGAGAGGAAGAGGAAAAGGAAAGCCAGGACTCTTCTGTGCAGACCTCCAGGTGTGTTTGTGTAACATCAGCCGACCTCGACAAACTGGAGAGGAGCAAAAATAAAGCGAAAACAGTCAGGAATTATCAATGATCATCTGATGAGGTACTGATGAGGATGAGGGAGAGTGGAAGCTGAATCCGGCCGTGCCAACATCCAGGTTTGCCAATGTTTCATCAGTCGAACTGGACGAAGTTACACAGTTGCATATCAATGTAAATACAAAAAAGCTTTTGAGTTTCTGGTGTGTGTGCCGCGTTACCTGGCAACAGACTGGGGGATCGTGGAGCTACATAACATACTTTTATTTCACTACCTTTTGTTAACATTTCCTTACTCAGCATTGCTGTTTCAGCTGTTGTTGAACTGTTGTATAAAAGCAATATCACATGAGAGTGAGTGATGTTGTACAGTATATCGTCACGGCTGTAATACGCCTGCGCAGTGCGACGCACAGCCTAGGAAACAGAAATACTGCAAAATAATAATAATAACGCGACTAAACATTATAACGTTATTTTGTCTCGTCTTGGTCAACGAAAATGAAGACATTTTAGCAGAGGTTTTATTTTGTAAACCACATTTAGTCTTGTTTTTATTCATCAACAATATTGCATTATATATTTAATTATAGTTATCGTCACATGACCACCATTTACATTGCGTCTCGTCTTTGTCACGTGATAAAGGTTCGTTGACGACGATATTTAGTCATACTTTTCGTTGACGAAAGCAACACTATCAACAACTTGTATACCCTTGTGTCTGTTTTTCAGTTTGACACTCACCGTGTGACATCCAGGGCTATCTGAACTTTGGCCTGTACAGAGCCCAGCAGGTCGGCTCCCATCTTCTTCAGCAGCTGCGTGAGCAGGACGAACAACCAGTCCTGCAGATCTTCCTTATGGACCACGATGAAATCTACCAGTGTCTCCAGGAACATGCTGAACACCTAAACACACACACACACACACTTTGGGTCATACAGGGACTCACTCACTCAACAATTCCCATGCTTCATGCACACATGCATGCATATGAGTCGTTCTGCATTTAGACTGTAATTACAGGATACAGAAAGGTTATGCTGAAGAGGTATCATGTGAGAGCAGCATTAGTTCCCATTGTGAAGTTAGTGGTTATTCACTCATCATTGGAGCAGCCCACCTTCAACCCCAATCACCGGTTAAATCACCCAAATTAAAAATAACAGTATTAATATTAGAAGACAACCACAATGAGACAGTTAATCAACAAGCACCAATCAGACCGTGTGGTCACTGTCTCTACATGCCAATGGTTGTGTTCAGCAGGACAGTGTGGTTACAGGCGACCTTGTGTGAGGTAGGTTAGTGACAGAAATTTTTATCCAAACACAATGTGTAAATAAACAACACTGATTGGCCAAACTTACTCTCTACAGAGAGTTCCAGAGTGGGGTGGCATGGGGGAGAGAAAGACACATCTGTTAGCATCCTGACAAAGAACACCTGAATGAACTCATTGTTTGTGTGTACACTTAAAACCTTGACTTTCAATACAACATTTGCAAAATGGAAATAAAGTCAAAAAGAGTAGCAACAGTAATAAAAATGTGAAGTGATGTTTTGTGCACACTTGAAAAGAAAACAGAGAGATGCTGAAAATAAGTGAGATGAGAAAGAAGTGGGAATGTTGTGGGATGGATAGATGAAGGCAGGAGAGGGATCCATGGTGAGATGCAGTACCTTGAAGGAGGCTGAGCTTATACCGGATTCTGCCGTGCCGTACACCCTGCCGGAGTCTCGCTGAAATTCATCAAATCGTCAGACGTCAAATGAGGGGGAAAGGGAGGGGGCTCACACACCTTACGACATGTGTGAGGCAACGGGCACTCAATGAAGGCCGAGAGAAAAGTGGCAGTGTTAGAGAGGTCGAAACGCAGCTGGTTAGTCAGAGAGAAGAGCTGGCAGCCCAAATATTTGTGTGTGTATCTAAGTGCGTCTGAGAGTGTGTGCGGTCAGTGTCGTTGCTGCAGATTGCAGGGAGGCGGGGGAAAGAGAGGGAGGGGCAGTGGATGCAGTGAGCACAGCCGGCGCGTTGGCTGCTGAACAGTGACAGAGCAATCCCACAGGACGGCGGAGAGTTGTGAGGTCACACGCAAACTCAGGCGTGGCATGCCGTTAGAAAACAGTCCATCGCACACTCCGCATGCCTGTGATTATGTCTGAGTGTGAATATCCGTGTGTGTGTGTGTGTGTGTGTGTGTACATCTACCAATACATTTTGACTTGTTTATCCCATCTTTATCTCCAAATGTATTCAAAAGACTAAATTTAACATCTGTGAGTGCTAAAACGTGTGTGTGTTTGTTCTGGCAGAATCCGGTACAGTGAAGGATGGTGGGGATAAACAAAACATTTGAAACTGAAATAAAATAAAAGTGGGTGAATAATGACTCTATTTGGCATGACACTGTAAATGAATGCTGTGCATCTTCATGTGAGTACTTGCACTATATGCACTCATACCTTACTGTGAGGGTCTGCAAACATCCTGGTGAAGATTTCACACAGCCTCTTCAACTCTACCCGACTGCAGATCAGAAAGAAACACGATTAGAGGAAAATCAAAATTAATCTATCCTTTGAAAACACATCCCTATGTTCTGTGGCTGACCTTAGGGTGCGTTGGTTCTTGAGCAGCGCCTGTAGGCCCAACAGCCCCTCCTTCCTCTCTGACCAGTTGGCACTGGCACAACGGTTCAGCACCTGGAAATAAACACAAATACAGTCACACAAAAGGCTTGTTAAAACTTCTGTATAGGCACAATGAAGCAATGAACTGATCCTGATAATAAAGTAACATGTTCAATTGAATACTGAGATGAAATTCTTATACTAATTGCCTCGATGCAAAGTTGTGGTGATCAAAATCGACTGCAATCCAAATTCCGCTGACTCGTAAACAAACTTGACGGTAAGTTTGGCCCCAAAATTCTGCACCAAGGACATGAACGTAAAGTCTGATCATTGCAGATACATGGTCATTCAGTAAATCCTTAAAGGAGACCTATTGTGCTCAAGTTTCATAGTTTCATTTCAGGTTTCTACTAGAACATGTTTAGCAGCAGGAACTCTCTTGCTGTGAGGTGACAATACTAACCACTGTATCACTGTGCTGCCATAGATATATGATCTGAAATCAAGGAGAAATTAATAACATCGGCAACCAAGATGACCTGCTTCCCTGATGTTAGCATGTAGCTACATGAAGCAGTGTGTGTAATGTAAACACTTGCAGTAGTGTGCCTGGAGCAGATGACCATATAAAGAAATCTGTCATGAGCTGACATCAGCTTGTCTTGAAAGTGGAAAAAACTGTTAAAAACAAGAGTATTCAGAGTGGCCTGAATTCTGGCGTTTATGCTCACAGGCATTACTTTAGTTTACATTTACCTCACTGTGTGAAACTTTGGCCACACTCTTAAATCATATAAATGTATATATGACGAAAATACGGAAAAGCATAATAGGTCCCCTTTAAAATCTGAACTGGGAGGCAAGACATAAACCTGAGCAGAGGGAAAAGCCTGGACAGCTGTAATAATGGTGTTATTGTATCTAGTTTAGAAAAGTGTCTTGGCCTGAAGACTGTTTTACTGAGTTTTCTGCTGCACTGCTGTTGCCACCAACCTCAGCTACGTCTTCTGTCTGTCTCATGTAGGTGGGAATAGCTCCTCCATTTCTAGAGCTGTAGGACCTCTCCGAACAGGCGCTGGAAGCATCGCTGTTAGCGTCGTCATCAGAGTACATGCCGTAGTTTTCATACCGCCGCCGTGCTGGCTTCTTCTGCAGGTGGAGGACAGGAATCCAAAGGAGATGAAATTAAACTGAAACTGAAACTGAAGACCGGGTAAAACCAGGCAACAGGCAGAAAACATGCATTCACACACACTTGCTTTATAGAGCACAAACACAGCTAAACACACACAAATAACACACATGTAGGAGGCAAGAGAAGGAGCTGACCTTGGACCGCATGTCTCCCAACAGCTGACAGCGTTAAACAGAGGTAGAACCAGGGGTTAGTGAACACACACACACCACACACACATACACACTCCAGGAGGTGTGAGCTGCATGTGATGACAGCTTACTGGAATGTGATCAGTTATTATGTGCTTGTTATGCGTATGTGTTGCACGTGTTTTCATACCAGTGCATCTGCGAGCGCCTCTTCGACGTCTGAGCCCGTGTTGAGGACCCTCATGGCACTCACTGAAGAAGAGAGACGACTGGACTGACTGATGCCAAAACCTGTTCCTGTATAGAACCAGACAGATAGAGAGAGTGGAAGGACGGACAGAGGGACAGCAGAAAAGAAACGTTAGAACTAAATTTGCGAACCCCTTCTCTTACTAATCGGGCTGTCTCTCATGTCCTCTGATGATCACCATTCTCCACATCATCCATTCTCTAACATCACATAACCCACACACACTTCATTTCCCATGAGCCAACCCTGTAAGTTGATGGGATGACTTGTTAGGTGACACTGCAGGTGCTGCTGAGGGAGAAAAGTATGATTGACAGACAACAAAGAAGAACATGTTGGTGTCCTTGCAGAAAAAGGGGCAGAGCTGAATAAAGAAAACAAATGGTAAAACTGGCAGAATGGTTGTCAACTGGCAACTGAACGGGCGGAAACATGCGATTCCACTGGAAGGTTCAACATCCTGGAGCAGAACGAAAAAACAAAAAAACAAAAACAAAACGGAGGCTGATGCACACGAAAAGAAACAAGCTGACAAAGAATACAGGAGATGCTTGGCACTAAAGAGAACAAAAGAAAAACGGGTGAGCGAACACAAATTAAGGCGACATGGGTGGGTGGGTGAGGTACAGAGAAATAGATGTACTCAGCCTTCACCTGCAGCCCCAAAAGCATCAGGTGTGTGGAGAGCTCCGGTGGAGCGAGAGTAGCTCCGCGTTGCTGCAAGCAAGATTAAAACACACATACAGAGTTTAACACTCGCGCACACACACGCAACACGAACACACAACCCTCACACTGATAAAACAGTGTGACAGTAGAAAGAGAGGCTGAAAAACATGCAAGTGATTGCTTTTATCTTTATTTTAAATTACCCTCAACTTTTTAAAGTGTTGAGATTTTTATCAGAATTAAAATAAAAGCCTGAGTTTCTTTGGTTTGATTTAACTTTATGAGAGGAGGTTTCTCTTCTCCTCTGATGTGTACTCATTCAGAGTTTACTCGTCATCCCTCCTGGGTATCTGTCTGCTACTGCTACTCACCGAGGGGTGTGAAGGAGCGTACGGGGCTGGTGTCCCGGCTGCTTTCCCTGCTGGCCTCTCTGCTGCAGCCCTGACTCATACTGGGCCGAGGGATACGACTGCCCCGAGCTAACGCCACCCAGGTTACAACACGGCACCGCAGCAGAGGGAGAGATGAGGAGGGGGGAAAGGGGAAGGAAGAGCAGCGGAGGGAGGAAAAACAGTATCAAGAAGACAAAGGACAAAGGGAAGACAAAGAAGAAAAACAAACATGAGCAGTGACAAAGGACAGAGAGAGGGGAAGTACGTGGATAAAGACGTGAGACAGAACAGGCAAAAGTGACAAACTGACAGAAACAGGAGAGAATATGAGCACAGGTCGACTGGCTCAGAGGGAGCATCTCAACAGATTTGAGTCACTTTTTTTTTACATGACACTAAGGGTTTCCCACACATTCATTTATTTATGCTGCCACCATGTTTTGATTTTCTATTTTTGGAGCTGGACTGTTCATTAGGAGCGCTGTATGAAGCCTAGAGTATACTCTGGGCACAGACAGAGCAGAAGAACACAAGGCGCAGTGAATGTGAAACTTAACTGTTCATTGCACTGGGTCAAAAAGTTGCCTCTGTAGCAGCTTCTCCTCTTATCCATCAGTCTGATTAGTTCGGATCAGATCGACTGATCAATTATCCACCTCGCAACTTATACTCCACCAACTGTTGCTGAGGAAAAAAATTAGCTCATGAAGAGTTCGCCGGGCGCTGTGTTCACGGACCACGGAAACCTCCAAATTTAGAGAGGGGATACAGACTGATTCACAAGGACACACAGGCAACAGAAAAAATAATAAATTAAAAAAAATATAAGCAAAGTTATGCCCCCAAAAAAATCGGCGTCAGCTACTGCCACACATAGATTTTTGTCCTGTGGCAAACAGCGATAACCGACCTTTGACCACAAAATTCTAATCAGTTTATTCTTCAGTCCAACTGGATGTTTGTGACAAATTTTTAAAAATCCCTTAAGGTGTTCTTGAGATATCATGTTAACGAGAATGAGAAGGTCACAGTGATCTTGACCTTTAACAAATTCTCATGAGTTCATTGTTCAGTCCAAGTGAACGTTGGTGCAAAAAAAAAGTTCCCTCAAGGCGTTCTTGAGATATTCTGTTGACAACAAAGGGATGGATGACGTGCGTACGGCTGGACAACCTGAAAACATGTCTCCACGGCAGTCGCCAGCGTGACCGCATAACAAGACTAAATTGATTGAACGAATTTCAAAATGGTTGCAGATTAATTTTCTGCTTATTGACCCATTGTTTCAGCTCTTGATGAGATGCACCCTAAAGAAGCACAGGACTGCTGGACTCACATTTAAATGAAACAGTCAGTCTGATAATCACATGCACTTAGGCACACACACAGATACACAGAATAGAAAAGGAAGTGATCTGAGATGAATTAAGCGAGGGATGGGCAGGGGGAGGAAGTGCGCTTTTTCATCCAGTAGCATCGCAATCAACTTCACCGTTCATTGCTCTGTTCATCAGCCTCAGCATCTACGCAGCCAATCAGGGTAAATCACAGCCTATCAAAGGGTTACAAAGCCCTGGTAAAGCTTCACTGATCCTGCTAGAGGGTTCGTTCTCCAGCCACTGACAACAGGTTAGTAAAGAGAGGGAGGAGGTCATGATGCGTAGACATCTGCTGATCATGGGCACCCATCACCACAACAACACAGCCGTAAAGTCAGACAGATTAGAGAGACGGGGTCTATGAGGATGAGGCGGCGAGCTACAGCTTGATGGAGGGATTGGGAAAGTGGGAGAGATTTGTACTGATGGATGGAGATGAGGGATGATTTTAAGATGATGACAGACTGAGGTTAAGAGATGGATAGCGGGATGGTCTGCTCGAGATCGGAGCCTTACCTCCTCTGCTCGCTCCATTGTAGATGGAACTAATGCTGGAAGGCGCTAGAGGACAGAAGCACCAGGGGTAGGAAGAAAAGAGGACAGGGAGCAGGAGGGGAAACAAGTTGAGATCCAAGGGTTCATGGATGATTCAAAAAAGTTTTATGCGCTAGTGTCTAAAGCGAAAGGCAACAACCAGTTATATAACCTTTAAGCAACTGTTATAAAAATGGATGCAGGAAGACAAATATAAAAAGGGAAGACCTTTCATTGTTCAGGTGCGATGAATGAATTTAGACCCAAAACCAAAGAAAAGATTGTGTGTATGAACATGAAACTGTAACTGTTCACTTACCAACAGACAGGCGGGTGGGGGAAGAGTCTCTGGAACAGCCCTGGCTGCGGGGGATGCGGCTGCGTCTGTGTCCTTCCCCGCTGGACCCGGCCAGCACCCTGTGGGCCCCTGAGCTCATGGTGCTCAGGGCCGTACTTGTCAGCACACGCCCGGGGGAGCCACTCCGACTGCCAGCTTCAGAGATACGCAGAAAGAGGAGAAAATACAAAGACAGGGAGAAAGAAAAGTCAGAGCTTTACCCAGGCAACGAGTGGAATTTAACAGAGAAATTTAACCAATCCCCCTCTAATCTGAGAAGCCTTTTTAGAAAATGGTGGCAAGTGAGGAAGACAGTTGCTACTGTCCTTCACTCAGTGGCACTTACTTTACTTTTTAGTAAATGTTGTAACATACAGTTTGTATATCAAAAACAGACAGAACTTAAGGGCAAACTCTACAGTGTTGGATGTCATTGGAAAGAGGATTGTTGGGGGTAGGAGAGTTGAAAACCATACCAAGAGGAAAATTTTACAAGTGTTTACAACTCTTAGTCAGAATTATATAAACATACATTTCAACATACATACATACATTTAACAAATACTAAATAATCTTTTTGAAGGCACAAGAAAAAAAGTTGCGTCCAAGATGGAAACCTAACACTTGATAACAGAGGTCTCAATTTCTCCTCCCCATGACATCCTGTCTCCAAATGCAAAGCCCACAGTGCATCTACTTCTACAATGACTCACATTACTATCAACCTGAAGACACAGAGTTGAGGAGAAGCTGCTCTGCAGTGCTGAATATGAAGTGTGTGAACAGACTTTTAAGGGGAACAAGCTCCAGGGCTCAACACATGAGGCTGGACCTTAACTGATTTCAACATGAATGAAAATGTGCACACAGACCAGACCCTCTCACTCTCACACTGACACACAAAAACTCAATTAAAGCCACTCACACACACAAATTCAACACATGAACAGTCTATGTACTAGCACCTAGTGACAGCTAAATACATCTACATGACAACAGTAAAAGCTAAATGGGGATTGTTCTATTATCTTGACTCTGAAGATATACAGTAGCTAATTTAGTTTTCATTCTTTTATTATGTAAAGAAGACATGACCCTCTCTTTGACCTCTGTAGACATTTGTTATTTATTTCCAGTCACCTCCGCGTTCTTGTCTTCCCTCATCTCCTTATGTTTTAAAGCTAATGTGGACTGATGCGTGTGAGTATTACAAGGACATCATTTTTATAAACTATTTATAAAGGCAGTGGAACAAAACTACAGAATTATTTGCCTGGCATCTAAAAATACAATTTTAGGACAACTATATTCCAGTAGGGAAAGGTGTCTGTTGTCCTCGTAACAGGGTAAAACAAAAAAAACATATTCTCAATCTTTAGACTACATCCAGGCACACATAAGAGTGCAGGACGACAGAGCTACCAAAGCAGTGTGTTTAGCATGATCATAAAACAGCCATGTTAACAGTCTGTGCCTACAAATCCCAGCATGCCTCAGCCAGAGTGGGAGGAGCTTTAAGTGACCTTGCTGGGTGCATGTGAAGGAGGGGGAAGTCAGGGCAACAGAGGAAAGGCAGTAAAGATAAAGAGAGCGGGTAAAAAGAAGTAGCGTTGTAATCTTACCACCGACAGGGGTAGCAGACTGAGATCCTGAGTTGGGAGGAGGGGGAAAGCAGAGGCGAGGGGGAAGGAACAGCAGATTAAACCAGATGAATTATGGGTGTTAGCGCAAAAAGAAAAAAAAAAAGCGTCATGGGAGTTAGGACACAGAGTACGATGGGAGCGCATCCTGGTGTTCCATATCAAGAATGGAGGCGAAGCTGAAGCACTTTGATTAAATAAATCCATTTATTAAAGAGAAAACAAGGGTTGAAAATGTGTTGCTTAAACAAACACACACACTGAACCAGCTGCAGATGGTTGCCTGGGAAAAGCAGTGCATGTTGGGACAGCTGGCATATGTATCAAGCAAAGCCTGTTCACAATGAGGAAAAAAAAAATGCCTCAAAGTAAATATGCTCAAAAATATCCACACACTCTATCACTCACACACACACACACACACGCATGTAGAAATCTTTCTAAGCCTCTGGTCAGCTGCCATTTCCTCCATTTCTGTTAGTCTGTTGTTCTGAGATTTGGGTTTTGAACTCTTGACTCAACTGTCATTTGGTTTCTAAGGTAACGTTCAGACTGCAGGAAAATCAGATTTGTTTCTTGAGATCTTCCAGAGAGACTGTTTGTTCTTCTATCTGCAAGTGATCAGATCTGTGTGTCAAGACATCATAAACCTAGATGAATGGGCTGCTGTGGACATGACGCAGACATCAGTATCTATCGCCACGCTGGTGACATGGCTTTCCAAATCGGCATTAGAAATGGAGGTCCATCATTTCCCCCTTAAATGGTGGAGGCTACTGAACATGGTGATGGTCTGTGCTACAGTCATGGCAGACTTGACTGTGCAGCCAGAAGTGTGGTGCCATCCACAAAGTATGCGCCAGGGTATGTTTGGCCATCAAGGACCAAGTCTTGTCCATCAAGACACTAACTTAAGAAATCAAATTTTAGTAGCCAGTGAAGCTTGACTGAGATGCATGCAGGGTTTTCCCTGTTTTTTTTTTTTTCGAGACCAAGGTGGCAAAGGCCTGTGGCGGGGGGCATCTTGACAGCTGTACTTTTAGATACAGCCCCCCCCTTAATAAAATATGAAAGGAGGCCCCCACATGCTTGAGATTTACACAGCTGACTTGTATAATCAGAACAGACATATCCTGTGATTAACAGACTTCTATGATTATATTTACCCTTTACAGCAGGCACATCCTGACAGCTGAGAATATTACTGTCAGGTATTGTCCCCCCTCTATTAAATATGAAAGGAGGCTGAAAATCACAGGACATGTCTGTCCTGATGATACAGGTCAGCGGTTCTAAAATGTGTGTTTCTCTTCTTTAATACAAATTCTACATCTGGGAGACGACGTCATTCCACATACGGGCTTCCTTCGCCTTTCAAAGGGGGCAGAGCTCCATGGGAAACAGTAGCAGAGACACAGCCTGAGGGGGAACCGGGATCTGACACAATACCGGAGGGAAAAGCAGGTCCGTGGAGCTGTGCGCAGGACGGAAAAACAAGTGCGTCGCACCGAATGCGTGGCGCTATGGCGTCGCTTTGGGTTGTGAGCGCACATGACGCGCATCTACATTGAAAGTAATGGGTTTGTGCGCGAAAAATACACTACATCCAAGGTGGCGGCCAAAATCACCCAGGCAGCCAGCCTTTGCCTTAGATAGGCAGAGAAAACCCTGGCATGGTTTGGATCTGATTTGCAAAAATCACTTTTTATGTGGCTATTTTTCTGGCCGGACTTTCTAAAATCAAACCGGACATGTCAAAAAATGGATTTGGGCCAGCAGTTTGAACAAGGGCAAATGTTCAGGTGCAGTGTGCTGTGGTCCAGTCACCAGCACCAAAGCATCACGCTATAAGCAGCAAGTATTCTTGGAAAGCAGGCGCAGACGTGTCTGCTTTACGTGTTGCAAATAGGGCTGTACTGAAGAGTTTGAGTCTCGAAGCTTGATTCAAATACTGCACAGTGTTTTGTTGTTCCATGTCTATTCATTTTATTTAAACCCGGTATTTCAACACAGTTGCAGACAGATTGAGACTTACCCGCATGGGCTCCGCAACAGGAGTCCACAGTGGAAATTAGACTTATAGTGCTACACACAGGAGGTCCCACTGGGAATGAGACCTACTGGAACAGGCCCAAAGACTGGGCTTGCTGCGATGGATCAACCTCCAGTGAGCAGGTTAGGTAGCCGTGTTGGTGATGATTATGTAAAACAGTGGTGATAGTATCTGCTGTCCCCTACGGCTAGTTAGCCCCCATGCTAAAAACAAGCCAGGTTATGCTAGCAGCAGATCCACTTGCAGCAGGCTATCCGGACCCTGACAGGGCGGTCTAGCAGCAATCTAACAGTGCCATAAGTAAATTTATTCATTAGGAAAGCAGCTTTATTAAAAAAGATTAACTCATCTTCTCTGGTCAATCGCTTAATTCATATTGAGAACTCTTTTTGGGGTGACAGATGTCTTAATACACTGTATGATGCCAGACATTCGGTACAGCCTTAGATGCAATAGTAGCTAGCTCAGTGGCTCTCTATTTTTAACAACCTAACTAACAACCAGAGCCAGGCCACAGCAGCAGAAATAAACTGTCCACCACACCATCCTCAGTGATGAGACACGGCATGCAAAGAAAAACACACGTTAAAAAACACACACACACACACACACACACACACACTCACTCCTCTTTACACAAAACACCTTGATCCAAATGAAAGCGATAGCAGGTGGGCCACCATTCCCACTGTGGTACACAGGTAGACACACACACTCTGACTCTGACACACAAACAGAATACCTGGTGTGCAATCTGATTCGTCGGAACCTGAAGGCACAGAAACATTTACATGGAGCTTTTAAGTAATTAAACTCCACAACAACAGCCTATGAAACTACAAACACACACTCCAAGGAGCTCACACACACCTCACACACATCTCTGCTGCTGGGTTTGTGTTGATGTGGTAAGTGGACCTGACACCCAGAATGTCCCACTCACAGCTGGGTTTAAGTCATGCTGTGTGTCGGAGAGAGTTGGTACATACGTTGTGACTGGGAGACCATTTTGGTGCGGCTGCGTCCTCGTGAGTCCACCTGGCTGGACACGCTGCTGGCAGTGGACAAGGGCTGCTTGGTACGAACACGGCCTGTATGTTTGTAGAGGAAAAAACACTATAAAAATAAATCAACAACAACAACAAAAAACATTTCTGTACTTCTAATGCTCCTACACATCTAGTCACAAACTGTTTGCAGCTGAATGAAGCCCAGAACCTAAGAAGCACTACAGCTGACAAAAAGCCACTAATGCTGGCAGCCACTGAATTAACGCCAGGTCCTAAACTAAACACTCAGGTTCAGCCAGGCGGGCACGGAGGTACATACACCAGGGATGCTTCAGTGGATTAAGAATCAGTGTCTGTAAGGACATAAAATCTAAACTGGTCATGACCATTGACTGTTTCAGGAAGAGGACATAACCTCCAGGGCCCGTATTCACAAAGATTCTCAGAGTCCTCTCAGAGAGTTCCTAAATTAGCCTAAAAATTCCTAGCAAGGAATCTTAGCTTAAGAGTGATTCAGGAAGTTTCTGAGAGCAACTCTGAGCAAGGAGGGGACAGAAACTTTTATCTTAGTGAGGAGGTGTGGTTGACCCCGTTGCTAGGTATGACGCAGACTTCTAAAAGCTGTGATTGGTTGTTACAAAAAGAAAAAAAAAAAAGCGCTCCTAGTAATGAATGGACAGTGAAATGAACTGATCATAGAACTTAGACTGCAGGCTATTAAGAAATGTGTAATCGTGAAAATAATTTTATGTCATGATGATGAAACTCAGCAAAATTAAATTAATTGTTACACAGCTTCAAAATGTTTGAACGTACCTCATTCACATGCCGATTATTGATTTGCTTATTGTTATGTTTACTCACCATGCTGGTAATTTTACTACTTAATCTATTTGATATTAATGGTGGACGCAGACTCAGCTGTCAGCAATCACTGTGATTGCTGGCCTTCTTGTAAAAAGCAGTTTGATTTAGCAGAATGACCAAAACAACGAACGAAATGGAGAAAAAAGAACGAGAAAGCTGAACTGGACAGAAGAGCAGTGCCTGCTGTTGGCACAGCTCGTGGAGGAGAACAAAGGAGTTTTAAGAGGGAAATTCGGTCCCGGGATCACGGCACAAGGGAAGAGGCAGACTTGGGAGCGCACTGCCCGACAAATCAATGCGTCGTTCCCTCTCCTTTTACGCACAAGCGATGAGTGTGAGAAGCGCTGGTACGTGCTGCAATCCAAAGCAGGCGTTATTGCGTTACTGCGCTGGGTGGGAAAAGTAAGCTCATCCCTGATGAGGTCAACCACAAACATTATCCCTGCACAATCAAGCCAGTAGCGTCATAATAAATCACTGTCGTTAAATATACAGAGAATAACTCTCCTTCCTCTATGTCTTTCAGACATCTTCTCTGTTTAAGACACTCTTAGGCTTCTTAAAAGTCCTCCTCCCTCCTCTTAACAGTTTTTCACCATAGGAGCTCTCTTAAGGCCTAAGATGCTTTGTGAATAACTTTTATCTTACCAAGGAAAAATTATAAGAAAAATCTTAGAATTCCAGGAATTCTAAGATTTTTCTTAGAATGACATCACTAAGAGCTACTTTTAGTCTTAGGATTCTTTGTGAATAAGGGCCCAGGTCTGGAAAGTCAAGCCAATGTGGAAGTACCTTATACGAGCATTCTTAATTACGTCCAGCAGGGGGCGACTTCACATGTTGCAAAAAGAAGACCGATAGTATAGCCTACTGCAGTGTCCCTTCAACACAGTGCTGATTGCTTAGTCCACTAGCGATTGTATCATTCAAGATAGATGAACACAAAAGTCGGAGAGGGCAGAGAGGAGGGCCGTGGGCAGCAGAACAGAACAGGTCTTAAAATATTTATTATGAATCTGAACTTTGAGCTCATACAATCACTGAATCTTGTGTGGCCAATGTAGCTATCCCGCCTCCTCACCCACATGCGGGCACCTGACACACACACACACACACACACACACTCACACGTAGTGAGGCCAACTTGGCAACTTTCTCCCTTGACTTAACGACTTTTCAGATCCTTTTAGCCACTTGCTGCTCCAAGTGAACTCAGTCACTGGCTCACCTGGCAGCAACGCGGCATCTCTCACCATGTGCACACAGGCAGGAGTGAGTCACTATGGTTTGCTTGCAACTTTCTTGAGAGCCACTCATCCACACGACTTCACACTCAAAACTGAGCTTCCATGAGTGCGTGAACAAGAGTTATATCACCGATGCTTTAAATGTTTTAGTTTGCTACAACTAAACGTCTCTGGTCTCTCCTTCCTCATCTGTTGTTGAATGTACCATAGCTAGCTGAAGGCCCGCCCCTCCTGCTATACAAAGTACTGGTCACCTGTTTATTCAAAGTTTATTAATATGACGTGTGTCTGATTTCAACACTATACGTCCTTGGGTCCGCAGCAATACACCCGCCAGCTGTGAAGTATATCTGATGAATGTCTCCCAGATATGCTTAGGACACAAGTACAGAGATTCCTCGCTTTATAGTTAGAAGTAAATGAGGGAGTGACCTGGCCTCTTACTTGATTTATGACCCCACTAAACATCTTCCTAGAGAGTTTATTGTCCCAGTCGCTATTTTAAAGTCTTCTTCAATACAGTATGATATATATTTTGTAAATTATGGCCTTATTTAGCATAAAATAGATGATGAAGTAGGGCATGGCTGTGTTCTGATTGACAAGTTGTTACTATAGCGACCTATGGCAATGTGTATCTTCCCCAGCTCCACCCTCTCATCCATATATCTTCACTTCTGACTCCAAACAATGACAGGAAATTTTTTTTTATGACAGCCATGATGCCAAACTCAAGGCTTTAAAACAGGAGTCAAAACAATGGGTGATGTTATGGTGGTTACGTCTACTTCTTTTGTACAGTCTATGGTCATGACCCAACTAGTTATTTATCTGTAAGTACTGATTGATTTGATGAAATTATCTTGTGAGTAATTAGAATATTATTGCAACCCACTTCATTCATACCATTCATTTTGGCCCCTGCAGTGCATCAGTTGATACAACTGCAATTTCTGTTTACATTAAGCCATTCTTGTTCATGAGCACTATTAATGTTGGACCTGTGATGGCGTGAGTTATAAACATTTGTACTGGTTTAAATTGAGGATTCCACAGCAAATTAATTTCAGCATCTTGTGATTCCTCTGCAGACGACAACAAATTTAAACTCAAAGTATAAATTTTGTCACCAACTAGAACATCCCTAAAACATGCCCACACACACATCCACCTAACCACAATCTTACCATTGTCTGACCTGGTCCCTACAGACAGACAAAGAAGGAGCAGGTTGTAAAAAGCACATTCATCTGATACGTGTATAATAGCACTTCCACAATACATCCTAAGTATCCTAATAAAGCCTCAATAGCAGTTTAATGCTGGTGTTGACTGTTAGACCGTTTCTGTATTAAAACAGGATTAAGCTGTGGTAAAGCAGAAGATGATCTTAGATGTGTCATTAATTTGACTCATGATGTGATGAGTAGGATGGTGATACGAATGAGGGTTGAATGTGAGCCTGCCAGCAGGGGGCGCTGTGGCCACACACTGCAACAAAAAAGGAGCTGATGTGGAGTGATGGACTGGGATGAAGTGGGGAAAGGGAAAAGACGAGAAAGAAAAAAGAAAAGCATGAGCAGGTTGTCGCTGGTGAAGCAGAGTGAGATGATCTTACCATCCGTTTTATCAGAGGCATCATCTTTAGTGGCAGAGAGAGAGGGAGCGAGAGAGAGAGAGAGAGGGTGGAAGAAAGAAAAGGGAAGAAACAAAGGGAAACGAAAAGGATTGATACAGATGATTATTTAAAAGTAAGAGACACAAAAGGAAAAGGAGCCCGAGAAAGGGAAAATGAACAGAACGTGAAACATAAAATAATGGAAAAGAATACAGAATGTGAGACAGCAAAGAAAGAGACAAGAGAGGAGAGGAGCACAGTCTGTATTAGTTACAGAACATCTGTTCAGAACTGAGAGGCATGCAGATGTGGTCGACATCGACACAGAGAGAGACAAACACACAAAGGACGATATTCATCTACAGAGCATGCACACAGAGAATATCCATACCAACACATATACAGGATACATTAACAGGCAATGAGGAGACAGTAGGAGAGGAGAGTACAGGAGCAGAGAGGAGAAAGACCAGTCCAAGCACTTAAGTGTGTGAGTCCATCCTTTTGCACTGTTCTTCAGATACTGAGAACTTTTAAAGAGAATGACTTTTCTTTCTAAGAAGCTCCTGAGCTGATCTATAACGGCTCTTCAGATGGGGTTTGCCTGACATCCTGCTGATCACATGCTGACCTATGTCTGCGCTGTCTGATTAGTCATCTAGCTTGACTGACAGGGCCCTTACCCAGTGAAGAGTAGGAGCCTGGGGGCAGACGCCCTGCTCCCCTGGTCTGTCCGACGTGCCGCTGCTTAGCAACTGCTGCTGCGTTTACATCCACGTCACTACGGGAACGCTGCAGGGAGGCCGACGGCACCCTACCCTTTGAACCCGCAGGGACTGACAGGACAGGAGGAGGAGGAGGAGGAGGTGGAGGAGGAGTGTGTTGGACAAGGGATGGGAGGTGATGAGGGGATATATACATCACAAAAACATGCAGGCACCACACTACCAAATACTGATACAGAAATACACAAACAACCAGACACATATACGCATGTGTGTGCGTACATGTGTGTAGTAACATAAAAACAACGTAACAGGGTGTGGCTGTACGGACACAGGCAGATGTAAATGAGAATGATGGGAAAATGGCTCTGTAGGAGCTGATGTTTGTCATAGTGCGTGTGTGTTTTCACAGGAGCCAGTGAGCATGAGATTATGTGTTCGGGAGCGCTTGTGCGTGTATCTGCTGCTGTGTGTTTGAGAGGCAGTGTGTGTGTTTGAGTGTGTTTGACTCACCTCGCCCTGGAGCTGCTGACCATTTAGAAGTCAGAGGCCGACTGACAAGAGGAGAAAGAAACGTAGGTCAGTCCAAAACAAATCAGCACACATGCATATAAATCACAATGCTAATGTAGTGCTGAGTAATGGACCCAAAAAAAAAATATTTTTGACAAATCTAAAATGCCCCGGTCAGCCTAAGGAAATAATGCCCTTACTGGGGATTCTGTCTCTCTAAAGACGAGTGGGAAATCCACTTTCACTCATCAGATTTTTTTTACTGGTACGTACAGCAGAAGAGCTGATAATATGAGAGATTAGAGGAGGAAAAGGAGAGTAAACTTGATCCATGTACAGGAAGGCTGTCTGACATGGGTGTGTAGGTCCACAGATGGTGTCTTAAAAACAACTTTTTTCAAAATGGTTTCTTCCAAAATAACATCAATCTTCCTTTTCAAGACTCAAAGGCAGTCTGAACGTGAACCTAGAGGCCTAAAGAGAACTACGGATGGTCAGAACTGAGCGTTGATTACTTGAGGCTCTCTTGAGAGGAGGACGAGGAGCGGTCACTCTGGGGAAGTGATGCCACGCTGCCAGAGCTCTTCAGGCAGGACTGAAGGGTCCTCTGGTACGATGGCTCTAAGGAGTTGTAGAGGGCGTCGGTCTCCGCTGGAAAGTGGTTCCTCAGACCCCAGTAGGCCCTGAGAGAGGCAGCAGGGAAGAAGGAAACAGATAGAGGTGGAGAGAGAAGCAGAGGGGGAGAGATGAAGAGACAAAGGGGAAAGTAAAAGGGAGGGAAAAAGGAGGGAGGTGGAAAGATGATGATGACAGAGGAGGCAAAAGAGAGGAATCGAGGGATTCAGGCAGGAAAACGAGGGCGGTGAGATATTTCACACTACTTGTCTTTCAGATAATTAAATTTTCAGAAATGTCTGTCTTACTTGCGGGCCTCCACTCTGGCCTCTGAGTCTGCATCTCGAATTCCCTTCTTGATGCTCTCAACCAGAACTGCTGTGTGCCTGTAAAGAGAGATAAGAAGGCACAAGAGGTGCATTAGGTGTGAACAAGTAGAATAGCAGGTATATACATCTCCTCTTCCTTTGTAAATCCTGCAAAGTCATGTTTTTTCAGTTCTGAGACAGCAGTGTTGAGCACATCTTTGCTCTGAACCATGTTGGAATCAATCCTCACCTCTCTAGAGAGTGGGTTTGCCATTCCTGTAGCAGAAGGTCCAGGAAATCATAACAGCGCCTGGAGACGACACATTTTTTAAAATCATTCTCGTGTCACAAAACACATTACTTAACAGCATCATCATGAGCATTTTATGACCTCATAGCTGGTAATTACTGGAGCTCATTAACAAACTGGGCTTTTTATCACTTACACCAGGGCCGTTGTTAATCTCACCTTCTAACAGCCACTGACTTGGATGTACAGTTACTGGTTATCAGGGGGATGAGCCTGGGGACGTGGGTGTGCTGCAGAGAAGAGAGAAAGCAGAGCGTGAAAGATATGAAATAATCCAGTAATCACACTACAGCAGTGGCACTTACACTGACCAAAAAGAACCTCAACCAGACTGTTGAAGTGCGTTTGCAAAACTCACCCGTATGATGATGCGGATAGCCGACACACCGGAGGTGGCCATGACTTTGGCACAATTGGGAATAAGGTTGAACAGGACGGGAACGATAGCTTCAGCTCCATGGTCAAATTTATTCCCCAACACTGATGAAAGGTGGCTTCAAGAATACACAGACAAAAAGCACAATCAAACTGGGGTAAAGGTCACAATAAAGGTTGGGTACAATCTCGTTAACTAGGACCAAGTCACATTTGATAACTTTACAGCACACTCAAAAAATTCTAACAATGGAATGACAAAATTAGTGTTCATCAGGGGCGTAAATCCTAAATTTAATCACAATAAGATATTTTATTGATTCCTTGAAAAACAATATGATGTTTGCTGATATCACAAAGTCTGCTATGGTACAATTTCGATTCGATTAAATTCAGTGGCCTGCAATTGATGGGAGACGATATTAGTAAATATCCTCATTGTTTTTTTTTTTTTTGTGTCTGCTTACCATTATCTGCCAGGCTGCTAGCACTGTTTCAATGTTCAGTAAGGAGGTGTGCTAGAACAGACTTGGTGACACAGACGCACCATAGGAATTTCAAAAATAAAAGTGCATCATAAAGATGACGATATGCATCTATGGTTTCACTTTGCATCGATTATATTGGATCATTGATTATCTTATCCATATATATATATAACAATCCAGATCAATGTATTGTTACACCCCTTTTGTCCATGCCATGAGCAGTTCTTCATTTTGCCAATATACCCACAATGCACTGCAAAATGAGTTTCATTTGGCAGTTGTCAAAACTGCCATTGTGCAGCTCTACACCTGTCAGTGAAGAAGTTTTAGCCCATTCTTCCCTGTGAATTAAAATACTGAGGGTCTGTTATATTAAACAAGTGAATGACTTCAGACACAGCCAAGGATTGTACCAATTTCAGAACCCATTGGCTGTTATTGCCCGACCACGATAAGTGTACTGTCAAAGGCCAATATTTTGGGACTTCCGGTGTAGCCACTGGACATCCAGGCCAAGGCTTAACTCTTCTGTGTGCCAGTCCTTTATATGCTTATCTCTATAAACATATTAGCGCAGATAAAAAAAGTAATATTAGGCTAATTCATCTTCCAATGAAAGCAGATGGGTCCTGAGACTGCGTTTCGCCTCTTATGGACTCTACCTGCCACGTGAACATAATTGATCAATACTACTCCAACCAAACCAGAATGCTTCCGATATCTACAGATGATGTGCATGTGCAGGTATCCTTTTAAAGAGCTTAGGATTGTACAGGTTCTCATGATTTTGTTTCCTCTCACTGCAGATCATGCTATCAGCAGTGAAATTCCAAAACCAACACTCACGCCACAGTGATGCAAGCTTCTCGGACTACTTGTGAGCGCAGGTCTTTAGCTGACAGTTTGAAGGCTCCATCCAGTAGCCGTAGGTGCTGATAGAAACAGTCGTAGCTGGCTGCGCCCGCCACCAGCAGTGAGCGGATTTTCTTCATCTTGATTAACAACATCAACAACAAAAAATTAAAACAGACACCAACAACGATCACAGAAAGCAGCGTCTAAAAAGGTAATTTCATTAATTTAACTGAAGAAGGAAATAGGTGAAAATACTGACAGCATTCGCTCTCTGGTCCCAGTCATGTTTGTCATCTGAGCAGATCTCACGGATCTTATTCAGGTTGTCTTCAAGATCCCTTGTTGAGTAAATCTATGTAGAGACACAGTGGAGGAAAACAGGAGGGAGGGAGGGAGGGAGCAGAGCAAATATGTGAGGGACAGATAAAAGTCTCAGACAGTCTGGCCTTTATGGCCTGTCTAATTTGGTTTTTAAATGGGATGAGTGTGTGCGACAGTCTGCATTTATGCTCCTGTGTATAGTGTACCTGGACAGTAGGGACATCTGTGAAGGCTTTAATGAAGTCCTCTTCATCTACTGCGCCAGCACTTTCCTTAGATACTAGAAAATCAAAGCATAGTCAATTAATTGTGTGCGTGCATTTATATGACAGCATGTCAGCCTTCAGTATTTAAGCATTTCTGTGTTGGTTGGTTTTGTGATACTGGTTTAACTCACAAAGACACAAGCACACATCCAATTACACACACCCACACCCACACACTTAAGTCAGTGGGAGCAGCCTGTGTTTCTAATGGACTTCCTGGCAGTAATGGGCATGTCAATCATATTTCTCTGGGGGCTGGAAGCTCTATGGGCCACACCTCCTACAACTCCTTACTCGGGAAGCAGAGAGGAGATGGAGAGACAAGACAAAGAAAGAAAAAAAAAAGAAAGAAAGCGAGCGAGGAGAAGCTGAGAGCGATTCACAAGGATAAGGACATTACATTATTAAGTGATGCAGGTTAAAGAGAAGACGTCCACTGGAGGAGGGGCCGAAGGGAAGGTGTAAACACGGTGGAGGAGAGTCAGGTATAAATAGAGAAAAAGGCAGTAGAAATGTTGTCTCCAGGGTTGGCTTTAATATCAGGCTGTTGCACAAAGACACTTTATGTCAAAACTCTACATGTACACGGCCCTTAGAGAGCTGAGGAACATCGATGTAGCCAGCTTACTGTCTGTCGACACTATCCTTACTATACTCAGGGAGTAACATGACAGCAGCCTGGGCATAAGACTCACCTGACAGCACTTAATCGCCATTTTCAATTACTTTTTATTGACAGCTTTATGAAATGGAAATGTTCACGGCATGTCATCAAGGTGCGCAGATATAGCTGTGGTAATAATCATAATTATGTTGACGACTGATGCTTCCACAATTGTGAGAACTACACTAGACATGAGCAACAAGTATTAATAAGACTGAATAAAATGTATTCAACTTGAAAGTGTAAGCAATTTTGCTACTTGTATAAACAGACATGCCCTGGTACTTGATCTTTTCAGATATCACTGAGGACTTTTTTAAGCTCTGATGTTTTTCTGCCAGTAAAATTGGCAAAATTAAAATATCTGTCTTCTGTCTAAATCTTGCAGTCGGGTGTTGCCAGAGTGTGTGGGCGTACTATCATCTAAATGCTAATAAAAAAGAACCGGCCTCCCCTCGCTGCCATCATGGAAACTGGCCTCATTTAGCAAAATAAATAAATAAATGCAAAACAAAAAGACAGAAAATATTTGCAGCTGCAAGCCCTTGGAAACAGGGGCTTTAATATCACAAATCTGTGGCATAAGTCAAGTGAGGTGCATTTCTTTTCATCACACAGGTCAAGGTATTAGAGCCTCTGGAAATCCGTGAGGGAAAAATACTCAGCACGCCCTTGACTTTTGCCTCCAACAGCAGCTCTACGATCAATAAGACTGTAACGATCCAAGTGACAAGAGATCATATGCTTGTGTTTCCAACCAACAGAGCAATGTACCCGGACTCAGACAGACTGCTGGCTTGTAAAACACTTAAACACAAGTGTATGAGTGCATATATGTGACAGTGCTGACAGATACATCAGCAGCAAGCAGGAAATTGACTGCGTGGTCGTGGGAACAAAGCTTTCTTCAAACAGAGAAGAAGAGACGGGCAAAAAAAATCAATAAACGCAAAGACGAAGCAAATCTAACAGTCCAGCCATCTACAGCAGGAGGAAGACTCGACAGAGAAGAGGAGGTTCTCTCAACTGGAAGGATGATATAAACTGTTCCTGCAAGCCTGGGTCGAACACAGACAAGAGGCTGATAAGGACATGAGAGTGTATCAGATTTCTGAGGAGACACAGAGGGAGTGCTTCAATGTGTCCTCTTACTCAAGTCCTTTGCTTCTTCTAACATCCCCAACAGTCTATTCCTATTCTGTGACCATCAGTAATATATTTATTATTAATACTAGTATTTATTTTAAAGGGACAAGTACAGAGAAAGATTGACAGTTGCAAAAGCAGTGCCCAATGTATTATAAACATGTATACACTGATCAGCCAAAACATTAAAACCACTGACAGGGACGTGTGTAACATTGATCATCTTGTTACAATGCAATCTTCTGCTGGGAGACCTATGATCATGGCATTCGTGTGGATGCCACTTGACGCCCTCCACCCACCCAAACACTGCTGTGGGCTAAGTAATCCCCCCTCATGGCAACAGTACTCCCTGATGGCAGTGGCCCCCCAGCAGAAAAATGAGCCATGCCACACCACAAAAACTGCTCAGGAATGGCCTGAGGAACATGAGAAAAAGCTAAAGGCATCGACCTGGCCTCTAAATCTCCCACACCCCAATCTGATTGAGCATCTTGGGAAGTGCTGGTACCCCACCTCACAGCTGACCGGTCTCAAATGATCTGAGGCTCAAGACATATTCCAGAGGTCATGTGTCCATGCCTTGACATGTCTGATCCAGGGAGGCCCCACCGTGGATTAGGGGTACCTCTAAGGTACCAGCACGTCCCATGGATGCTCGATCAGATTTGTATCTGGGGAATTTGGAGGCCAGGTTGACCCCTTGAGCTCTTTGTCACGTTCCTTGGGTCATTCTTGAGCAGTATTTGTGGTGTGGCATGGTGCATTTTTCTGCTGGAGGGGCCACTGCCATCAGGGAGTACCGTTGCTGTGAGGGGGACTTACTTAGCACACAGCGGTGTTTGGATTGGTGGAGCGCTCCAAGTAGCATCCACATGAATGCCATGATCAAAGGTCTCCCAGCAGAACATTGCATTGTAACAAGATAATCAATGTTACACACTTCACCCAGCACTGGTTTTGATGTTTTGGCTGACTGATGTGTATATATAGCTGAAGCCTATTTCCAACACCAGTCCCTTGATGGGCATTGATAGTTCAAGAAATCATTTAAAAACTATCAAAATTACTATCAGAGATACAGGAGTATCCTTTTTACAGGAGGCTGCACCCACATCATGGAAAAATGCGTAAAAATGTGCAAATGCATTCAGGCAAAAAGATGAACCAGCAGGGACCGGACACCTGGGTTGGGGGTCAGTTCACACTTAAATATCACAACACAATTTCAAACTGCACAGTAAGAACAAATGTCCTTTCCCAATATTTTTCTAACAAAACTAACTGTCGAATGTGCCTGCCTGAATTGACAATTCTGTCGGCCACAACCTCATAGTGACATCAAACTAGGGGCCAGCTCAAATCTTGTTCACGTTGTTATAGAAAAAACACTAACAACAGTATTAAATCCTGTGGGTGTGGTCCGGCTTTGTGTTTGGACTTATGCAATTCGAGCTTGAAAGTTTGCTTCCAATTATTTACGCTCTTGTCTGTACAAAAGAAAACCTTTCCTGTCATTTCCTCACAAAAAAGGATACTAGAAAGTTTGGATTTCTACTAGAACATGTTCACATGCTTTAATTGTCTAAAAAACCTTTATTTTTCTCATACTGTTGGCACTGTAACACCTGAAGTCACCCTCTGTCTGAAATGCTCAGTTTAGCACCTGACCTTACGCCCAGTTTACTCTAATTGGTCAGTGCTTGCAGGTCTTCTCTCATTAAAGAACACAGATAAAAGCTTCTAAACAAAACCAGACATGATCCAGCAGGTGTAAAAACAAAAGTAACAACACCAGCAACCAAGACAACATGTTTCCCTGATGTTAGCATGTAGCTCTTTGTAGTAATGTTTACACTTGCACAGTAGCATGGCTGGAGCAGATGACCGTTTAAGAAATTTGCCACAAGTGGATGTCATCTTGTAGCCAAAGGAGAAAAAATCTCTGGATACAGATTAATCAAAACAGTGTGAAGCCTAGGGTTTTTGCTCCCAGAGATTATTTCTACAAAGGTTTATATCATTATTTGAAAGTTAGACCACGTTTATATAAAATAGGGAAAATAAGGGAAAGCTTAATAGGTCCCCTTTAATGATGCTTTATGGTCTTGGACTCTTTGACAGGCAGTGGGATGTCATGTACTGTTGAATTCAAAATTCTCTAGATAGTGAAATCGTACCTTATAGACATGTCATGCACACTGGAGAACTGACTGTGACTTTCACATGGATAAAAGTTAGGTTTGCAAATCATAGTGTTACTGTTAGTTTTCACATGAACTCAGCTGTGTGTCTGCAATCACTGTGTGTGTAAATAAACATTAAGTTACATACCAAGCTTGCCACCAGTAGCACTGGGCCTGCGTGCAGCGGAAGAATCTGCAGGCTTCTTGGGAACTTTTGGGACCTTGAAGGCAGCCTGGGTTGAGGAAGGACGATTGCCATCCACACTGTCGTCATCTTCAAAACTACGATCTGGAAGGAGAGGACAGAAAAGAGTGTTAACATCCACACCGTTGGCAAAGGAGAGTATGGTTCAAACTCTTTAAAGTCTCAGAAAATGTTAATGAGAAAGGGCCAGAGCACAGAGAGGAACTGATCTTACACAATATTGCAAATCATTATCATCAAACACAGACCTAAAAACCAGTGGTACAATTATTTTGTTTATTCACAACCTACATAAAAGACGATATAAATTATAAGCAAATGCAGAATCACAACTGAAGATTCATCATTTCAGAGAAACATCAACATCTACTCTTAAATCACCTGTTTGAAATCTGATTTCTCAAATATTAAATAAAAACATATTAATTATTCAAACCCTCAGGTCCCTCTGAAGCATTTCACAGCACCTTGGATTTTATTTCCCCTTTTATGTAAAACATAAAAAGCTGAAAGCTATTTGAAGACACTGAATGCTAGGAAGAAAAGTAAAGATAAGGAGCAAAGAACAGAGGAGGATGTTGTCCACAGAGAGCTTGGTCAGGAATCATTAAATCAATACTAATTACGAACACATTAAAGGTTAGAAGAAAAAGCCAAACCCACGCGCATATATAGGATCACTTCAGAGAGCCCAAAAACACAGCCAATGATCAAGCTGTCCACCCATGCAACCAGTGACTGGCAGAAATCTCTGCAGCCCAAACCCCTCAATCTGCATGCTAGCAGAAATCAAGCTAGCCTGACAGCTAGCACTGAAACTTGAGACAACAACAGTGCAGCATTTTGAACGAGCATCTACCAGCTAAACACCCAAGAGAGACAATATGTGACAACACACATAAACCCATAAGTCGACCGGGGAGATGAAACTGTTGGCATAGGAATGCAGTTGCGCTCCGGTCGCTCTGACAACCAGTCGTTTATGAAATGCGCCAAAGCCACCACCCTACACCTTGAATCATACGTCAAACTTACCCACACACACACAGTGTACATGCAAAATCAATTGACAGGTGTGTGTGTGTGTGTGTACATACGAGCCACATGTTCACAGTGGTTGCAGAGCCCATTGTGTAAATGTTAAACAGACATGTAAAGACGCAGACATATGCATCCTTTGCCGTGAAACAACATTTATCATACACAGGCATCGACAAACACACCCAGATCCATCGCTGCACTCACAGTCACAGATCCGCTGGCAGATAAGTCGCCTCATGCTTCTGGGAGGGCGTGGTATTGGGGTCCCCCCTCTTCTCCAAGCCGTACCCCAAGACACATACACACACCTCACACACACTTCATAGTGGGGCTAAAGCTGCACAGACACACACACAACTCACACCGCTGTCCGAAAACCCCTCCACCCATACAAGTGCCGGCATTTTCTTTCACTCTTTCTCTATTTTCTATCCCTCCCTCCCTCCCCTCTCTCTCCCTCTCTCTCCTCCTTCCCTCAGCAGCCTCACAGCCAATCAGACGTCAGGTGACATCATAGTGTTGCAGCCAGTGCGGAGGCAGAACCATGAATGTGTGTGCGCAATGGCAGAGAAAGGGAGAGAGACACACACACACACAGACACCCCAGGAATATTAACAGGGCTTCTTGGTGTCCCTGCCAGACCAGCTAACCTAAACTCATTACCATTGACAACACACACACACACACACACACACACACTCAAGACTCAAGACTCTTACTGCCTCTCTCCCTCTAACACACACACTATTATCAACAGCCTCTTAACACACTTTTTATGCTGCTACATTTACCTGGGGGACAACAAACATTTATTCATTCACTCTCTCCCTCTTCACGTACACAAAGGAACAAAGGATGATGGAGCAATGATCTGAGGAGGTCGCCTGGGGAGGGTGAAGGGGGTGGGGGGTGGGGGAGACCACACCCCTCCATCTGAGGCCTTGACCCTGCTGCTCTCACACAGTCAAACACAGTGCAGTCTGGGGAGTATGTGAACAGCAACATGATTTTGGTTGTTGTGACTGAAACAAATGAAACAAAGACTATGAGGTTCAAGTGCTAATTTTAGCTTTTAGCTTTAATTTGATGGTATCTGCATCCACATCATATGAGGAGTGGAGAAACTGTAGCCCCTTCAATAGTAATTAACTAACCACAGTAAATAGTAAATCCTTTACAGTCAGGTCTTCAACCTATAGACATCAGCGGACCTGTCAGGCCTGTCAGTTTAAATGCATGCTCTGTTGGAATGAAGTCAGGTGACTGACTAGTCCAGCTGAATTGTCCTAAAATGTGTGTGCCGTGGATAAAAAAGAGCCAGTACTCAATACTTACTAAACTGTTCAACCAATATTGATGATACAGATATAAACAACCCCAAATATTGTCGCAGCTTAATGTAAGTTTCAACCTTATAATCACTGTTTGATTAAAAATCTAGAAATGTGTAAGACTATGTATGAACTATTCCACACTACATGTATAAACACATACACACTATATGCAAGCACACACACTGAAAAATGTGTTTCCCTTTAAATGATCTAAAATTATAATGATGTGTGTTTGGTCCTCCAATTAGATCATGAGCGATACTTTTCAATTGGCATGTAATAACAAAAACTTGGGTTCTAAATAACTGTTTCTGGTTAGCCTCAGGGTCAAAGTTCAAGGGTCAAGAGGACTACAACTTCCTCTTCTGCATAATAAACACTGTTATGAAACAGATCCTTGCATATGTAAAATAGCGTTGACACGATAGTTGAATTTCTATCTTCAACACAATAACTTGAAAAATATCAATATAGCATTTTCAGTACCACAGGGGACGAGAACGAGAAGCAAAGCTGGTATCAGTGTAATGCTACTGCGGAAAATGAGTATTAAAACAGTTTCAAATATTCAGAATCAATATGTAGTGTCTGCTTTGACAACATAAAAGATGCGTGCAAAAAAATACAGTAATGTTGACAGTTAAAATTGAGTGGCTAATAAAACTGAATGAATTTACAGTCAGTGAATTTAATTCCTTACTAACAAAACCCACGGGTCCATTAGCAATACTCGGTCACGCATCAAGGGTCTTAGCATCGATTAGCATCACTGTTAGCAGGATTTGCATCTCCTGCTTTTGTCTAGTCAGACCCCATGAGAGTAAATGTCTCTGGGTGAAGGGCAGAGCGAAGACACCAGAGACGGAGAGAGAGAAAGAGAGAGAGAAACCCTCGTAGAGAGCAGACTGCACGCATGCTGTTGCCATGGCGACCTGTGCAGACCAGCATTTCAAATGAATAGAGCAGCAAACAGGGAAAAAAAAGATGCTCAGTAAGCCCACTCAGTAAGCGCACTCACTCACGCACGCACACACATCCAATTTAGTTCAATCAACAGTTGGATTTACTGTTTATACACTGACTTCATGTTGGTTTATTAAAGTAAGATGGATTACGGCTCGACAGTGGACGAAAGGCTCCGCCAGCAGCATCAGTTGTCTCCAAGGATACGCCTTAATATGGTACAACATGCAAACAACAAGTCTATACACACATACAGAAACAGACACAGCCACACACAAGCACAGTGAGAGATATCAGCTCCACCATGTACCAGGCAGTGTTGCCATGGAAACTCCCGGCTGAGACTCCCCTCCTCTCTCCATTTCAGAACAAGAGTCAAAAAGAGGAGCAAAACAAGGAGCGAAGACGACTGGTTTAAATATATAGATCTAATTGTTGTCCAAAAATCAAACTAAAGACACGTTAAAGCACAGCTACAGAAACATGCACCAACGCCTCAGTGCGTCGATCCCTAATCTGAGTGGGAATAATCCCAGAGTTCTTCCCAGCCAAAAAAAAAAAAAATCTACATGCAGGGAGAGATGGGGGAAGTGAAGTTAAAACCCATGCACTGCTGTTCTGTTTCTCTGTCCCTGATCTAAATAGAAAAGTCGGGAAAGGAAGGAGGAACTGAAATAAACAGATCTAATCACAGTAAAGGTCAGATCAGATTTGTGAGCACAAACAAACATACTCAGTTGTAACCACATGGTGGCAGCACCGGCTATGCTCTAGCCAAATTATTCCTGTGGCTCAAACATGCCAATAAACCTACACAACACAGAGGGACATCACACAGGGAATGTGTTTGTGCGACCAGAGAATTACACAAATTTCAAAAGTCACCAGCTCAACAGTTACAATTCAATCATGAGATTGAGTTTGTATTTAAGGATGAATGTTTATGACCCTGTGGAGGATTTTGAGAACTGATTGACTTCACTCAAATTAAAGTAAAGGCAACAAAGCATCACCTCTTCAAAAAAACATCAAGCATACTGTATACCAGGAGTGTCAGATAAGATTGGAGCCAGCTGCTTCTTGCATCAAATGGGTTTAAAAAAAAATAACATACAAATGACAGAAACACAACTTTTTCTTTTTTAAGTGAAAAAGTATTCAATTTTCTGTTGCTCCTGAAAGCAGCCACCCTCACTCTTGACCTTGTGCGTCTTTGCTGTGGCCATGTCTACTACCTAGCAGGAAATATCTGGTGTTAGGTAATTGCTCGTTTACTTGTTTACCGTCTGTCTATGAAAATACATTAGCTCCTCCTGCATGGTTCCTACTTGGTGCATGTCTAAAACGATGGACATAGCTATCGTGGCGTCACCCATTGGTTTGTGGACCTCCATTTTGAAGCCTTGAGTTCGCCATTTCGCCCATCACCTTTTTTTTTCTTTTGGAGGCAGAAGTGACCACATTTGGACGAGTGGGTGGCCTGTGGGGGAGCGAGGGGTGGATCTGTCTGAGAAGCCAACAACGCTATCGGCAGGCAGCCTGTCACTCAAAGCGGGCCGCCCCTAATTTTGTGACACATTAAGCCTTAACAAAATGTAATTGGGCGAGTTATATAAAAATTCACCCCTGGCTGTTGACATGTTTATTTCTGCTGTAAAATAGGACATTTTAACATGTCTTCTGGAACCAGCCTCAAGTGGCCATTAGAGTTTTGCCATTTTTGGCACCTCCATGTTGGCTTCATT